GTACGGGGGGGAGGGGGGGTTCAAAAATTGTTGCGTAACACAGAAAAAAATGTTGTTTTTTATATTTTTGATATTTTTTAACAATTTTGATTTTGATTTTAGAAACAACGCTATATAAATACATTTGATGTATGATTTATTGAAAATAATAGAAATTTGAAATAATTTTGTTACGTAACAGGGGAGGGGGTAAGTCGTTTGTTACGGAAGTGTTACGAAGGGGGGGAGGGGGTCAAAAAAGTCGTTTTTTCGTGTTACGTAATACTCGAACGGCCCCTTATATATACATAGTAAAAAATTTAAATTTTTCTGAAAGAATTCAAAATAATTTGAGACTACACAATTTGAATGTGTAAACACATTATATATGTATTATTACTAATTACTACGTATATATATATATATATATATATATATATATATATATATATATATATCTATTTATTTATTTAGTTTTGCCTGCGTATGATATTTGGTCAAATTTATTTGATAGGAATTGAATACAACATTTATATCGGCTGATTAACTACCATGCAGAAAAATAACTACTGTTAACATGACGTCATTTCCTCCAACGATTTCGCAACAATTTGCCCATCCTATTTTATAAATTTTATTTGATGTTTTTTAATTAGTCAGGTCACAATCATCATCATCATCGGTATCGCAATAAAATCAAATTGAGAATTTCTTAAATTTCTGAAAAAAGTAAAAATTTCTTTATTCATTTTATGATACTACTTTGTTCAATAAGATACTGTTTGATACATATAACTAGAATAAATATAACGATAAATAGTAAATATACGATCGTTAAATTTGACTCGAACGATAAAAAATCACCCTCCAACTCATATAACTCCAACTCCTCTAAGGAAGTAAGCTCGTTGTGAGACCGTTAAAAGTTATCATATATTTATTCTAGTTATATGGTCAAAGGTTACGATCGTATATTTAGGCCATGGATATATATATCCATGATTTAGGCTACTAATTACCGATAATGGCTTTTATTTAAAATGTTAAAATTTTGATTTTTTTAAATTGTTGTTTAATTTGGTAATTAGTTAATTTTATTTAGTATAAATTTAAAAAAATAAAATCAACATTACCGAAAATAATTAAAAGTTGAAAAAATTGAAATTCTTTGCGTATCTCTGCTTCAACCCATGGATATATATATATATATATATATATATCCATGCATCAACCCATAAGGAAGTGTTGTATATTGGTAAATAGGCCTTCCCATGTTCTTTTCCTTTCTATGTGAGCTTTCCATAAGTAAATACCCGTTTTTTGCTGGTTAATTATCCGACGTTGTCATAAACAAATTACAGCTGGTACGTAGGACTGCGTTAAAAATAATCCTATCACTATCCCTCTTGGTTTGATTCGTTTGCTATTGAAAAATTAGATTTATCATTTATTTGATTATACTCGGAGATATTATTTTCCGGATTACTATTACGGCTATCACAATAATTACAAAGATTTCAAAATCCATTGATTTTTTAATTTTTTATTTATCTTTTTTTTTGGTTTTCTATTCTATTCGTTTTTTTTGTTATAATTTTTAAATGTCCAGGAAGTTAGTTCCGCTTCTGAGATAATTCCCATGTTATACAATATAAACTAGAATTTAATTAACCAAGGGTTTGGAAGAAATTTGATTTTTTTATATCATTGTGATTGTATAAAATTTATACTATAATATAAATTTTATCTCATTTATCTCTTTTATCTTTATCTCATTTATAAATATTATTTATAAAATTTTTATATTGTAAATCTATTGCATAAGTAAATAAAGCTCAAGGCTGGAGCATAGCCAGATGAGTTTTTACTTTTTATTAAATAATAAAATGACCGATATTATTAATTAAAATATATTATTAGCAAAATCAGGTACCTGTCCAAAGTTTTTTTTCAGATGCTTATCATACCTTGAAATATATTTACTTTTGTATTATATTAAAAAATTGAATAAATTGAATTTTTTTTATAGAACTGGTTCAACAGCTTAGTAATTAACTCCTATGATTCAAAATGTCAGATTATGAAAACCTTCAAAAAAATGTAACTCTTAGAATGCTTTTGGAAAATCCACAGTTGCTTGACGTTTCTAATAAAAATAGTAAAATATTTGTTCATCTTTATCAGATCATTACATTGTTTAACTTTTTCCATTTTTGACATGCCCATCTTAAATTTTTCTAGTAATGACTAAAGAATTACCAAAAGAAGAAAATGAATTTGAAAGTTCAAGTGCTTTTTTGGGGCCAACTATCTGGCAAAATACCATACCCTCAGAATTTCTTGACTTGCCTACGGATGTGTTGGAGAGTATTGATGTATCAGCTTGGCTGAATGAGCAAGTGAGGACAAATGAAAGGAAGGATGTGGCATACATGGATAATTATTCTAACAACATGGAAACATTTGATTGTAAATTAAATTCTTCAACTGTTCCTTCAACAACATTTGGGGAAAATTTTCAATTTGACGGAGCATTTCCCAAGTGTTCTGAATATAACCAAGGTGTTTTATTGAGAGTGTGTGATAAATAAAAAAAATTTAAATAGAATTATTGTTATATTTTTTTAATGTTAAATGTTTCAGTTCAAGTAAACTTTAAGTTTTATGTAAAGAAGTAAGAATGTTGTCTTTATGTATGTATGTGTGTATGTGGGCTGACTAAGCGATCATTTCATTATCTAATTCCACATTTCTTGTCCATCAAACATCACTATATAGTTTTTTTCATTAACATTTCAAATGTTCTCATCTGCTATAATGATCTGAAATTCCAAATGTTAAATTTATCTTCATTTTAAAATACAACTTGTCTATATAGGGTAAAAATATTTTCAACATTCCAACAGATAATGACATTAATGTTGAAATGTCTTCAAATGGATTAGTTTACAATTCAGATGATAGTTCCGCCCTGCCTACTTCTGTAACGAACACATTGAGTTTGAATATGCCTTTGAAAGACAGTGGGTCTATTTTTTTTACAATTTACTTATCAGCTTCATCAATGTTTTACATTTTATGTTTTTTATTTTGTTTTTTTAATTTAATTTAATTTCTTTTCATTAATATTATAGAAAATATGTTAATATTTTTATAAAGAAGGTTTTAGTTGCTGGAAACTTTTGTTTTTAACAGCCAAAATTTGTGACATTTTGGATGAAAAAAATTATGAAAGGCTTGACAGTGACATCTTTCATGAAATGCTTTTGTTTTTTATATAGAATAGTTTGAAAATCTAAATTTGGTAGAGGGGATTTTGAAACATTAAGATTTGTAACACTAAACTTGTGATTAAATTACATTATATCCATAAAAGTTGTTGGAGATGATACATTTGATCCAAGCAGAAGATCATTTACATCAGATGAACTCAGAGTGGCGCCTATACTTCCAAAATCTCAAAAGGTTCATATTCATATTTTCATTCACGTTTGTTCTTGAAAAAGGTTTTCATTTCATTTTGATTTATGTATGCATGTGATTTATGTGTGCTTTTTTTGTTTATGAAAGTTTTTGAGATTTTAATTAAAAATAAAATTGGGTAAAATAAAAGAAACTCTAAAAAGTTTTTTTCTTTGAACTTAAAAGATTGAAATAATTTAAAATATTGTAGATCAAATATACTTTAGTTAGTTTGATTAGTAAACAAAATAAAAAAATATCAGGTAGTTCTTAATAACTTCTTGCAATTAAACAAAATGTTGGATTGCTACATTAAGTAATTTACTAAAACCCACTTTTTATCAATTCCAAAAAGTTGTTATAACTACTTTATATTATCTATTTTTTGTTTAGTAATTAATTTATATTAGAGTTTTTGATATAATTTAAATCTTTGAAGTTCAAAGATAAAAGTTTTTGTTTTGTTTTATAGTTCTTGAGCATTTTCGAATATTTTAATTTTAGACTAACAAAATTTTACATATTCCAAACCATCTTTTGATGTTCTTGTTCTTCCTAGGGTTGTCAAATCACAAACTTTTAATCTGTTCTCGTACGCCATGCCATGGCACCCATTAATTAAAATTAAATTAAAATTAAATTAAATAAAAAGTCAATGAAGAAGCAACTAGAGAAAAATTATTCTCTTTGATTTTTTTAAAACATTTCCTTATTTTTTTTGCAAATTAGGATTCCAAAGCTGAACACAGTACTCAAACTTAGATGTACTAATGCCTTATGCATGCAGGCTTAAAATGATAACCTTATCTCTGCTTTTTACTGTTTTTTTTTATCATACATAAAACCTTGTTTGTACCTTCAGCTGTCCCTGACCATTGTCGCAATATCTTACCATCGTGATTATTATCACTCCAAGATACTTTTCTTCTTCAAAATTTTTTAGTGCTCGATTAGCAAGTTTAAATACAATTTCTTTGTTAACTCTACATTTGTCAACGTTAAACATCATTTGCCACTTTTCAGCACATTGACACAATTTCTGCATACTTATTAACTTTTCAATGTTTTTGTCATTGTCAACTACAGCACATAATTTAGTGTCATCTGTCATCTCGCATATGATTATTTTAAGACAAGTTGGTCTAAATTTCCTGGGTCACATTTATCACTTTTTTTGTAGATGGTACTATGGCTGCATCCTTCCTATCTGATGGTACTTCACTTGTTCCCATGTTGACGTAGATGATTTAAATCAAAGCCGTTAACAACTTAATTAAAAGATTATAATTTGTGTTTAAGATAAGTAAACAAATACAAGTTGAGTTGGTAAAAAAATTTAGTGTATTTCACGTTTTTCATAACTACTGATAAAAACAAGATGTGTAATGTGCACTGATATAGAACTGCGTTCACGTTTGTGATTTTGGCACTGTGCAACAAAGGCAATAGATATTCAACTGACTATTATGAGCTGATTGTTGCTGGTTATTTATCTGCTCATCTGCTTGATTGCAAGTCAAGTGTTATTTTGTTTTATTAAAATTGGTTTTATGAATTTATGACCCATGAACATATTTAAAATTTCTTTTTTCTATTTTCCGCTCAGAATTTTGTGCCTTCTGATAAAAAGGATGATCATTATTGGACCAGACGATTGAAAAATAATACAGCTGCCAAGAGATCAAGAGAGGCAAAAAGAATGAAAGAAAACCAAATTACTTTGAGAACTGCTTATTTGGAGCAGGTTTGCTAAATGTTCACACTAATGATTTAAATGAATTTTTGTAGAAGCTGTAGAGTCGAAAGCTAGTAAATAAATAGAATTTATTTAATATAGAATAATCTAGCTCTGCGGTTAGAATCTCACCACGACATCTCAACTCTAAAGTTGTTATCAGCGAGAGAATTAATTGCACTTGCAAATACTTTTAACCTGAAACCTTTTTCACGACTATTAAAATCCTCGGACAAGAGTTTGTATGTTGTAGTAGTATGAGCAGTAGCGGTTCGAACTCGATTTTTGTATCTGAGAAAACTGTTGAATCAAGAAATGCTTTCCAAAAATGGTGGAGGCCTGCAAGATTGATGTTGCTTCACCATCGCCGGACAGAAATGCTTATAGAAAAAAAAGCACATAAAAAAGCTCATATAATGAAAGTGTCAAATGTCAGATTTCTGGTGAAATCTCAATTTTAAACTTTAGTGAATCGTATTTTTTCAATCAATTTTTCAATCTTCGTTTTGCGTCCAGAGACCCGGTTTCCCGATGTAGGTTTTCCGATTTTTCTTTATGAATTAGAATAAAATTAATAAAAGTAGAGATAAAAAATGCTAATAAGTGACAAGTGGTGTTTTTTTGCCTTAAAACAAGGCAGTTTAACAATGAAATTTAAAATTTACTTCTGCAGGAAAATACAAGGCTAAGAGAAGAACTATCTAAAGCCAACAGCGAAATAACGGAATTGAAGAAAAGACTGAAAAAATATGAATACGTTTCAGATTAGTTTTTCGGGGACATAGTGAGGTGGTTTCCTTTCAGTGTATATTAAATGTGGATGAACGAACTTTTAAGTTCTTGCAAAAATAGCAAATAACTCGTAACAAAGATATCGAACTAATTTCAAGATGGGGTTAATAAATTTATTAACAAATGACAATTTTTCGTTGTAAAGTCGAGTCGTTATTTTGTTGATATGTCATATGGCTTCATTGTGTTTTTAAATTTTGCGCTTGTGCGTGTGTGTGAGATTTACTTTACTATGACAGAGATGCATTCTCATATATTTTTGTTAGAAAATTCAAACAACTTTAAAAAGTTCAGTTTATTTGCAATTTATTGCGTTGTTAATGGCATAAAATTATGTTTAATTTGTCACTCATTGAATATTTGGTATGTACTTTAATTTATAGATTTAACGTTCAGTCATGAATCATAACTTATGATGAATAATTTTAATAATTTTGTTTTGAGTAAATGTGTTAAATGATTATTCTTTTTTACCCGCGCTGCTAATCAACATTTTTTTAAACTCAATAGAAATGATCTCTAATGGTAAATTTTGTTGAGAATTTGGACACGAAACATGCACAAATCAGTAGTGATGGGAACTAAACCAATTTTTTTTAGTTAAACTATAACCTCATGCTGGGGTGCACTGGCTATGAGCGCGTCCCCAGGTGGTGGATAGGGGAAAGTCCTGAGCAGGGAGACCTGGTATTGCATCGAATAATATGGAATAAGATACCGCGAACCAACTGTAACAGAAGAAAGAAGACAACGGTGAAAGAAGCGGAGGATCCTAGGACAACAGCTCCAACAGCAGATGGTCTTCTATTCTAAATCCACTGCCTTGTGGAACAGGGATCTTTGACCCAAAGGCTAGGTGCACTGCTTACAACAGTGCTCTCTTGGGCACTAGATAAACTGCAACCACGCTGCCTTGTGTGCTTCCAGCAAAAAGACTATGCCCACTGCTTATAACTGATGGTTGTCGTTAGGAATTGGGCAATTCCTGATATACAAAATTTTCGACTTATGTCATCACAAAAAAAGATCCCCTATTTCCTAGAAGACCGATTCAGGGCATCACAGCTGAGGAGCTTACGGATGCGTTGAAGGCAATGAGGGGGGCTAAAGCGTCTGGTCCGTCTGGACTTACAAATGGTATTATCAAGGCATCTTGTGGGGCAGGCTTCCGGGCCCTCTTACACATCTGTTGGGAAATGTGAAGTAAATCGACACTACCAGTGGAATGGAACAGTAGCACAACTGTGCCAATATATAAAACAAAAGGACCAACTGAAATGCTCCTCATATCTGGGTATACATTTTCTGGAACATCCCTGAAATGTATTGAAAATGTCATTGATAGAAGACTGTTGTCGTGCATTTCAATAGGTAGTTACCATGCGGCTTCATGGCAGGGAGATCCACCATTGATGCTATCTATATCATTCGTCAACTACAGGAAAAACGACTGTTCCATGTATTTGTGGACTTTGAAAAGGCTTTTGACAGAGTGCCTCGTGAGGCAATCAGGTGGTGACAGCGTAGACTGCTTGTTCCAGAATATGGAAGGAATTTGACATTAACGTCGGCGTTCGTCAGGTCATCAGGGATCAACACTCAGCCCATCAACGGGGCTCAGATGATGATACGATTACCGGGAACGAAACTGTTACTTCAGTATTTTGGAGATGTGCTGGATTGTACTGGAACAGCTGATGCCGCCGTTCGGGGACACATACGTGCGGCGTGGGGCAGATGGCACCTCTTCTAGCATTCTTCTACCGCTGCGTGACATTCTTCTAGACGTGGCCGATGAAATCAAAACTCGAACAGCAGCTTCACCGAACTGACATGAAGATGATTCGTTGGATGCAGCTTTTCTCAAATATAAACTTACAACAATTATATAATATGCTATTATTTATTTACTGCCGGTCAGTGTTATTGAAAATTATTTTTCAAATTTTAAAGCTTGGAAAAAATTTATAGTTAAACCTTTTAGTTATAGCTGAAAAAATTACTTAAACTTGTTTTAACTTAACTTTTATTTTGTAGTTAAAGTTTGACCGTTGAATTATATAGTTATATATTATATTATATATATAATAATATAATATAATTTCATAGTTTGACCTAACTAAATTTTTTAGTTAAATTAAAAGGTTGAACTTTTTTAATTATCTTTTGCTCATCACTACAAATCAGATTGCTAATATTTTGCTTGTAGTAATAGTAAATTTTGTTATCAAAATTGTTTTAGATTATGATGCATGTATATGTCAAATACAGGTTAAACAAGTTCAGCTATTGAAATAATTCCTGTGAGAATTTGCTCGTAGATGCAATGAAGTGTTTATGTACTCTTAATTCTTAAAACTTTCGCACAAAAAATCGATACCATGGATCAGCTACATTTAATCTTTTATTTCATTTTTAATATTATTTTAGGGGTTCAATACTTAAAATTCAATACTTTTAGTTTTGATTTATTATAATAGAAATATATTCAATGAAAATTTTTTATGTATGAAACACATTTAATAAACGTCTCAGCAAAGGCACAAATCCAGTGTATGCAGTTGAATGGGCATTAGAACGTGTGGAGTTTGCGTTATATCCGGTAGATTCTGAAGGATGGTAATTAGATCCGGTTGATTGGGCCTGGGAAGTCACTGGATTTATCTGCCATCTTATCAATATAGACGGTTGGCAAATCCAGTGTGTGCAGTTGAATGTGCATTGTGTCCACTAGAACGTGTGGAATGTGCGTTATGTCCAGTAGATCCTGAAGGATAGGAATTAGATCCGGTTGATTTGGCCAAGGAAGTCACTGGATTCATCTGCTGGTTTGCAGTTGTAGCGTCATTGAAATGTAATTTGAACCAATTAACCAAATTGTTGATGTTGCTAAATACTTGTCCTCTGTATTTTAATCCGTCGGGAGTGATTGTCACATACTCGTGTTTGACGCTTCTATTTGGAAAGTAGGAGAACATGAATTTTCCCGGATATTGCTTAGAGATTGTAAAATGATATGGAAATCTTGAGGGGTTGCGTTTTCGTTCTTCAATGAGATCTCTCTCAATGACTTCTTTATAGTCCAACAAGTTTACGGCGATTTCCTTGAAATATTTGAATCTCATTACTTCTCGTACGAAGCCTGCCATTGGTGTCACGTGTCTGACGATAATCTCGTCGAGGTCATCGAAACATTCTGATTCGACCCAAAGTTTGTTTACCGAGACTTATCGTATTGGCTTTTCTTTCCTCTCTTACATCAATGTGCTGAAAAACTCCGTTTGAGACCTTCCAGGTCACTGTTAGGTGTTCGTTGCCTTTGCTGCTTGGCCTGATACAAACATCTCCTTGTTCAAAGTTTTCCATTAGTTTTTCGCAATTATGGTAATCAACGTTGCGATAGGAGGGGTGAGAAATAATTCTGTTAATGTAGGTAGTTTTTGCCTTAATTGCGTTATTTCTTTTTTTATCGATTTCTTTTTGGTCATCCTTTTCTGCAGCTTTGTCGTAAAACAAATCGTAAGGTAATCTCCATTTGTGACCCAGGTCGGTTAAATCAGTTGTAAGTTCCGCCTGAAACTTTTCTACAATGATTTTAGAAACTCTACAATTTATCATTGTGTTCCTTTTAAATCGATCGCTGAGGTCTGACACATGGCGATTACTTATCGATCTGATCGGAATGAAGCCGCTGACTCCGTTATCAAGTTTGGTTTTAACACCAACTACTTTGCCTGGACAGCAGCCATCTCCAAAATGACTCCAAACTTCGTTTGATGACGAAAACTTCCCTTTCTTACAAAAGAGACACTGCCACAAACCATTTTGCTTGTTAACGACCGGTTTAGCAGCGTTTAATTCCTCAATGCGAAGTTTCCGGTAAGCGATGCCAACAACTTTGCAGCATACAAGTTTACTGATATAAAACGTTTGTGGTGTTTCTTTCGTGAGCATGTTAAATTTTTCTTCTGCTGTTGCGCTTTTAAACGGTGTTCTCAGATCTTTGTATCTGTCACATAACTCTGCTTTCATGTCGTACAATGTGATACTTTTATCTCCATAACCCTGCTTTTTTAGTTCCTCGGCAAATAAATCAAGATCTAAATCTTCTAATTTTTCTGGAGTTTCCAAGATGTCATTCACAGCATCTTCATTGTCGTCATCGTAATCGAGCGCATTCTGTGCCATTTTGCGAGCCCATGGGTAAACTTCGGGGTGAATTCTGGATCCATCGAGTAGGTCCACGTCATAGTCATCCTGACACGCAGTAGCATGTATTTTCAAGAATGCAACGCAGTTGACAAAAACCTTTGGACCTATGCCCACACGTGTGACCAGTTCATTTCTGTTTTGAAGGCGACCTTGTCCCAGCTTTTTCAACAAGTAGGTTGATTTTCTTGATCCTAGGCCACTGACAAACTTAACAAGCGATGATGTGTGAGGGTGAGCAATGCATCGATTCACATCAACACCAACCTCATTGACCCGATCTACAACTTCTTGGTATAAATTGTTCAGCAATTCATCTTTATTGAGGTAATTCTGCATTTGGTGAAATCTAATGCAAAGTAGATCTTCTTCGAAATTGCATAGTTGCGTGATTTCCAACAGCGGATCTTGGAGTCGACGAGCAACGGAGATGGCTTGTCTCAGTAAGTTGGGAAAGTTGTTCATGTCTTGGTTTGCTTTCTTAGAATTGGCATAAACTTTTGCAACATCATTATCGACCAATTCAACCTTGATGCGAGCTACTAGTTTTATCTTCTCCAATTGTGAAAGGATTGACTTGATGTCGTCAACAACCGTTAAACAGTTCATCGAAGTGGCAGCCACTGCTACAACGTGAGGTTTTTTACACGATATTAATTCTTTTAGGCGAAACAAATCTTGTTCCTTGGCTTCTTTTTCTTTTTTGCTCCAAAGATATCCGCGTGTTGCAAGACTAGTCATTTTTAGATAGTCTGTAATTTCTCCACTACCGTCAATTATTGCACAATACGATGCTTCATTTTTGTCATTACTTGTTGCAACTCCAAGAATTCGCAAACTCTCGTCAACCCTGTAATCTTTTTCTTTTTGTAATATTTGATCTACTTGATAAGGTGCCACCTGCAAGAGAGAATGTAAGTTTTGGCAGCATGCTTTTATCACGTGGTCTTTAGCCTCCTCTAATAATTTTTTTTTTATTTGCTTGATGAGCAGGGGAAAGAGAATGTCTTTTAACGCCTTCTCAACTGCTGAGGTACGAAATTTATTCCACTCTTGCACTGTAGAGCTATATTCATCCTTTGTAAAGAAGGATAAAATTTTTTGCATGTAGGAGTCATGGTCCATATAAAAGTGAACTTTCAACATGCCGTCTTCTTCCGCTTGATTGATTTTCAGGTATTCATCTTCGACCAAATGTCTCACTGGCTTACCTTTGAGATATTTGAAAGTGTAACAAGGATGGTTCTCATCTATTTCAGAAATTCCCTTAGTGGTTGGTCTGACATCAATGCGACATCTTCTGTTAAATTCCTGTCGAACACAGGATCTCACCAATGGATCGTACGCAATTTGTTTAGATGATATTAATGTCATCCTCGGTAAGACCTCTGTAGGATTTTTTGAATGGCTTGCCCAATGATATTTCCTCACTTTGAAATTGTTGCACTTGTTCGAATTGCTGCAAGATAGTTTGTCTTCTTTTCAACAGTTGCATCCACTTTTCATCCCAATGAAAAATTTTCCACAAATCTTTCATATCCAACTCCGGACCAAAGCACTCCTTTCTGTGAAACGCTATGAATGGTACGTCAAAGTTTAGATTGCGCATGAAATTGATAGTCTCTTTTATTTTGTTTACGCCACTTGGATCCTTCGAATGTCTGTTTGCATTTTGCTTGGTCAATGGAGGCGTGTTGAAAGCATATTTATAAATCCATTCTGCTTCTTCATTCAACTCCTCTTCTTCAGCAGGACACACTGGAATGTTTCTCAGTTGAAATCTTTATTCTGACCTCTTGATCGTAATCAATTAACTGGACTTTTTCTAATTCACCTTGTTTGTATATTTGTTGAAAACGTGCATTTTGTTTATTGCTTGATTTTGTTTTCGGTTTGTTTCGCTCTGTTGGTTTGTTGCCATAATCATTTTCATCTTTATCTTGCATGCCTTCATAATCAAATTTCTCTCCAAAAATGTTGAAAGCTTCTTGAATAGCTTCAGTGTTTTTAGTTTTTTTTCCATCAGGATGTTCGTCGTTTACAATGAAACTATCATCATCTTCGTATTCACCTTCAGATTCACTAACGAATAAGTCATCCGCCAAATGGGCTCCTTCGTGCGAATTTTCTTTGCCATCGTTGAATAAGTCGTTCACCAGATTTTTCTTATCATCGACCTGGTCAACTTTTTCATCTTCTCCATCATCGACCACTCTTCTTCTTTTGCGTTTCCTTTGAATTTTGGTACCGAGATTCTCTTCAATGAGATCGTATTCGTCGTCATCCAGGTCACTGTCTATTTCCGATTCGCTTTCGTTCTTTCTTTTGCAGGCGCCAGAGTCGTCTTCATCATCGAATGATCGATTGTCAATAAACCCATCCATGTCATCATCCTCTTCCTCAGTGTCATCATCGTCGTCATCATCATCATCATCATCTTTAATTATATCCTTTTTTTGTGTTTGCGGATTTTTTTCTTTTTCACAGTAGTTTCATCACCATTTTCATCAAAATATGAGGACTCTTCATCAGATGTGACGTCAGCTTTATCGTCTATAAACTCCATGATAGTAAATCTCAAAAATAAATTTTACTTTCAAGAGAAGTGTCGAATAAACTTTTTATAAATTATTCGATTTAAACTTATAGTAATATTTGTGTACACTGTGAACTGTCGGAGAGGGTTATGCTGGTTACTCATCATGCGAGGACATATATACAGGGAGAACTCCAACTTGATTGGAACCAAAGACCCTTTGACATAGAAGAATTATAACTAGCGCCAAAGTTGATTGGAACCAAAGACCCTTTGACATAGAAGAATTATAACTAGCGCCAAAGTGAATGTCAAAAGTTTTACAATTCAACTCGATTAGTTCCATAGATGAATTCAAACAAATGCCAAAGTTAATATCACGAAGAACTCCAAAGTGAATCTGACAAGTTGCCAGAAAGTTAATATCTCAAAAACCTTAAAGTTAATAATACATCTCTTCCTTGATTTCTGCAAGCATTTGGTTGTGATGTATTAGTTTGGCGCTGTACAAATTACTAATTATTATTGTTGTTGTTAATATAATTATTACAAGTTATAACTTCCGTGCTATACATTCAATTTTTATCGAAACATTCGTGATTGTTACTATGGCAACCGTACTGAGTTTTGATTTTTGCATAATTCTTGTTTGCTAATTCTTATCTAGTTATTAAATAAATGAATGAAAATAATATATTTTAAATATTTTTAAAAGACGTTTTACAAAATTCACTACAAACTATCTATATAAATTAATCTACTTTTTAATTTAAAGTTCATCGACTGTGGCATGAACATTTTTGTATTATAATTATAATGTAATAATAATAGAATAATAGTATTATTTAATAATTTTGATTATAAAATTAATTTAATGTACAACAACATTTACTATATTTTATTTTATTTTTGCTTTGAAAATTCTTAAATTTCAACCAAGTTTCTATAAAAATAAAAAGTACTAGTTGATCTGATTACCAAGGCGGATTACCAATCTGATTAATAAGTAAAAACTAGTTACTTGTTTTTAATGTTTAATTTTACTTATTAACGTTTCTTGCTTACCATAATGTGACGTAACACTTAAAATAAAATAAAATATCAATTTAACTCATGATTTGTTATATTCAAACTTTTATAAAATTTATTGTTCAATCAACTTATTTAGTTAATAATGTGTAATTTCCGCGATGTTTAACAGCGCTACTCAAGGAATTTTAAATAACCGCTCTGAACTTCGCAAGTGATGGATGAGTAGTTTGAAAAGGAGGTAGAGAGTTCAAGAGAAAAAGGGCCATAAAAACAAAAACAGATTTAGCGAAAAATTGTTTAACAGAAGCTAAGAAAAAGTGAGAATAAAAAGATAGTAAACCGGAGCGTTTAGGTTTAATTAGTACTGTATTAGTGTTAATTGTAGTAGTTTTTGTAGTATTAGTAGCATTTGAAGTATTTGTAGTAGCAGTAGCAGTGGTAAATTATAACAGTGGTAATAATCATTAAATAGGGACGAAAAAGTTATGAACAAGGCAATCAAGATTTGTTCTGCCTAAGTTGATTTCGGGGAGAGGTAGGAAAATGAAAATAGCTCGGCCTTGAAAGGTTGGGGATTTCATACAAAAAGCTCTAAATAATATGAGCTTCCGGCACATTAACTAGAGACATTCGCTCTTGTGAAATAAGCCAATATTGGAGCTTAAGAGGCAGAATAGGTACTGACATTTCAGAAGCTCAACGTTGACACGCCAACCACATGATTCGAGCCATTGATTCAAAAGTTAGGGCGCATTACCTACTTAAACGCTTCCCAAATGTAGACGAGCTTCAAGACCAGAATTAACCTTATTTTTCAAACTTAATGTAACACCTTAAAATCAGCTCTATAAAAATTACAGATTTATTAAACCAATATTTGAAAAAAGCTAGAAAATAATACAATTTAATATCAATGGTCGAATATTTTTATATATTTTTAGATAATTGACAAATTATCAAGTACGAAACTTTAACCGTAACCTCATTATGATCGATGATGATTGTGACCAAATGATGCCGTCATTAAAAAAAGGTTATGTACAAATTAACAATACTGTCCCAGGTGTTTATTTTTCTTGGCAATTCACTTAAACCACTTAGGCGGCAATATGGTGTAATTGTTAAGGCGTCTAGTATTCTGTTGCGGTGACAGGTTTCGAATGCAAAAAGATCTCCACCCGCGATATGCAATAAATGTGATTCGTCGATATATATATATATATATATATATATATATATATTATATATATAAACATTAACGCTTGAACGAATTATATATATATATATATATATAATATATATATATATTGAATGTAATTGCTGTTTTTATGAAAATACCTAATAGAAAATGAAAAAAGAAAAAAAACAAAACACAAAAGGTATTTGAACCGACATAAAATTCATTTTTGGAATTTAAAAAAGTATTTATTTCAATTTAAGGGAACTGAAAATTTGCATTACTAATTGTAGATATGAATCAGGTGGTAATATATTTCGACTGTTTCACGTATAAATTTGACGAAAAAGTGTGAAATTATTTCAAGTCAAAAGATCTGCCTTGAAATACGGCTTCAAGGAGGTGGATGAAAAAGATGATTGGAATTTATATTGGACGGATTTGTCTGTTTGCATTGAACGTGTCATGCAGATGAAACGTTATCAGGTTTTGAAATCTTTGTTTAGTTAAAATTCATTGATTCAATTTATTGCTATAATAATAATAAAAGCGTATTTAGCTGATCATTCGCATGAATATTTAGATAATTTTTCAGCAGAAAGCAAAAATAACAATAATAAATTTTCTTTATGACTCAAAAACTAAATTTATTTGCACTGTTTAGCTGTTTTAGGCTTGTGTTTTACTATATTTAATGGAAATTCTTTTTTGCTTTTTCTGATCAATGTTGAAAAAAAGTTAATTTAATTTCTTTAAATTTAGAAAATTAATCATTTCCCTGGAATGACTGAATTATGCCGTAAAGATTTGTTGGCTAAAAATTTGGCAAGAATGCAAAAGTTATTTCCAAATGATTATAACTTTTTCCCCAAGTCATGGTGTCTTCCTGCAGAGTTTGTCTTTTTTATTATTTAAAAAATGTTTGTCATCGCAAACATAAAAACATTAACTTTATGTCTATATAAACAAAATCTGTCTATCATTTTGTTCAGTCATGAGAGTTAATAAACTAGGTGAAACAGCTCTTTTTGTTTTTCTGAGATTAAATTTAATATGATGAACTAAATAAAATATAAAAAAGACGGCTAAAACGGTTTGGAAATAAAACATAGTTCTATCTAAATATGTCATTTCGAGTTCAATCGGTTCATAAATCATCTTTTCGTTTTAGCTTTGTACAACTAACATGTTTAAAATAACTATGGATATGATTTTAAATGTTCTTTTGCTGATGACTATAGCATTATGGGCGAGTGAACTCGTCTAAATAAAATAAAATATAAAAAAGACGGCTAAACGGTTTGGAAATCAAACATAGTTCTATCTAAATATGTCATTTGGAGTTCATAAATCATCTTTCCGTTTTAGCTTTGTACGACTAACATGTTTAAAATAACTATGGATATGATTTTAAATGTTCTTTTGCTGATGACTATAGCATTATAGGCGAGTGAACTCGTCTTGGTTTAAAAGTTTTGATGATGCATTTTCACAATATATTTTTTCAAGTTGATATATAGATGAACAAAAATAAAGTCTTAAGGTTTAAGTTGAATTCGTGCGAAACTAAATTTTTGCTAATATGGGCGTGGTTGAACAAATTTCAGTTTGATAATTAGAATTTTTTGAATGATGAATATTGTAGAAACATTAACATCTTGAGTACTTACTCTGTTTCTTACATTATGTTTTGCAATGGAATGTTGTCTCCAATTTTGGATGAATAGAAAATCGTTGAATGCAGAATAAGATAACTTTAAGAGGTTTGGTTCATGCATTCATTTAGTCAGGGTTGATTATTATCGTAAATGTCGCTTTCCAGACACATCAAACAAATCAAATGCTGATTTTAAGCCGATACAAAAATCAGATAATCAATGTTATGTAGTGTCTAGTAGTTCAAAATTGGATAACGTCAGCTCTATTAACTTACACCAGCCAAATGTTAAGAGCATTTGTAGTTCTATTATGGTATCTGTGCAACGTTACAGATTACGTTGGAATGAACTAAATTTTAAAACGGTTCTTGCGACACGTCGATAGATGGGTTTCAAAAAAGTTGCCAATTGGAACGGTCGGTTCGAAATAGTTTGCCAGTGCACTGCGTCCTAAGGGGTTCATATTTAGTTTTCTGAAAAGAGGAAAACGTTTGTTTGCACTTAAAAAAAGTGCTTCAATAAAAAAATAATATTATAATAAGCATGGTTAATTGATAAACATTTTACCACCAGGGAAATCACAATGGTGATCACAATGGTCACTTATGTTCCGAAATTAATTTTTAAATTTTTGCGTGGATTTATATTGACAAGTATTAAAACTTGTGAAACCAAAATAACAATGAAACTTTATATTCTAATTAGCTATAGTGACTTATTAGCACATGCCAAGGAAAAGAAAAATCAAACGTATATTTTGAAACCGGAAGGGGGTTGTCAGGGTAAAGGCATTTGGATCACAAAAAGTTTATCAAAAATTAATCCCAAAGAACACAAATTTTGCCAGCAATATATCTCTAAAGTAAAATTTTTTAATTGGATAATCGTTTTGTTAATAATTATTTTATTAACGAGACCGCGTTATAGGCTATTCATAGAAGATGTCACGCTTTTTTGCACTTTTTTCATTAAAAATGGAGAACATCAACCGCATCTAATAACGTTGATTCCGGATAAACACCTACACAACTTTATGAATAAAATGAAAAAATGCATTTCCTTGACACGTTTTGAATCTTTTTTGATAAAATTATGTTAAAATTTTTATAAACTTACAATAGAAACTAAAAAATTGTTGAGCAAACCGAGATATAATATAAGATTTTACCTTTCCTCCCCTTGTCACAAAGTGTTACAACCTCTTTCATCCTTCCAGCCCCTCAAAGCGTGACATCCATCATGAACAGCCATCATGGATAGCTTATTTTTTAATCAGAGTTTCAAAATGTTTTGACATTGTAAATAAATGTTTTTTTTATGACAAAACAGTATGTACAGTTTTTTGTTTTTAGCTCGTTAATCTCTCGTGTTTGATTGAATTTTTGTACTTATTAATTTATCACACAAATTTTGTCATTTGTTTTATCACTTTTGATTACTTGGTCATTCTAATTGTTATCACTTAAACTGTTATTGTGTCACAATGAAATACGAGAAGCATTTACTAATAAATTGGAAATTATTTCACAGCCATTTTTAATAGATGGATATAAATTTGATCTGCGGATATATGTGTTACTCACCTCATGTGATCCATTCCGAATATTCGTTTATAACGAAGGGTTGGCACGATTTGCTACAATAGAGTACGAAATGCCTTCCTTAAATAACTACGTCAGTTTTTTTATAATTTCAAACATTTGGATTTTTTTTAAATTATTCCATACTAGTTGTCAATTGGTTTCTCACATGAAATCGTTCACTATTCGTTGTATAATTATTTTTAAACACAACAGTTTCAGTAGCTTTCTGTAAAAATTTTTTATAACAAATAACAACTTTGTTATTTAAAATTGGTATTGTCCTACCGTATTGCGTTTGCTTCATTATACATTTTACATAATGATATCCTTTTCTCTAGTGACAATAGTACTCTTCTTCTTGCTCTTGACTTTTCCTCTGCTTTTGATACTGTTGATCATACTATTCTCTTGAGGCTGCTAGATCTTTCTTTTAATATTACTGATTCTTGTCTATCTTTGGTTTCTTCTTATATCTGTAATCGTTTTTCTTCTGCTGTTCTCAATAATTCTACTTCTAACTTCTCTACTCTTACTTTTTGGGTACCTCAGGGTTCTATCCTTGGCCCTCTTCTATTTATTTTATACTCTATACCTCTGAACTACCTCGTATTATTAATAACTTTTCTTTCACTAGTCAACTATATGCTGATGATTCTTATATTTGTTCTTCTTTTCCTCCATCTAATTTCAATAATGTTCTTCATAATCTATTTCTATGTCTTTCTCAATTATCATTTGGTCTGACTTTATTTGTCTTAAACTTAATTTTTCTAAGTTTCAGTTAATTTGCTTTAATAAATCTAAACACTCTATTACTATTCCTACTATTATTTTACCTGATTCTAAAACACTTGATGTTTTTCACAAGTTTCGTAGTCTAGGCTTTATCTTTGATTCTAGACTTTTGCCTTTTCTTGATGAGCCTACTTTTCTCCTTCTTGTTACTTCGTTAGTCTTATCTAGGATTGATTATTGTAACTCGCTCTACTATGGTCTTCCTGATTCTATACTCTATCCTTTAAGTAAAGCTTTTAACTCTGCTGCTCGTCTAGTTGCTCGTACCCCTTTCTTTTCTCATATATCTCCATATCTTGTTTTCTTGCGTTGGCTACCTATTTTTAAAATTTGCACATTTATGTATAAGTCTCAATCTAAATTATTTCTCAAGTACTTATCAGATATATTAATTGAACCTAAACGCCTCGGTTTACGATCGTCTTCTTTTCGCTTCTTCTTAACTCGTGTTAAACACTCTTTTGCTAAATCTGCTTTTGCTTTTTCTGGCCCTTTTCTCTGGAACTTTTTGCCTACTTCTCTGACTACTTCTCCATCACCTACGAAGTTCAGAGCGGATCTCAAGACCTATCTGTTTGCAAAATTCCTTGAGGAGCGCTGTTGAACATCGCGGAAATAGCGCTTTACAAGCTAATTGATTGATTGGTTGATTGATTGACACAACTATTAAAACTTCTGCTTAGATATCCTAGAGTTTTAGGTTTGGGTGATTGGCGAGAACTATAGCAACTAAAACACAATGATCAAAATTTTGTCAAATATTTGGCGCATCTTGGCAACAATTCATCTTCATTTTTATAGGCGATATTTTATACTGTCATCCTTTATTCAATTTTCGTTAATTTCAAAAGTCTCGTCATAAAGCGTTTTTTTAAACATTTTTAATGTATTATATTTACTCTATCAACAATTTTTATCGCGTCAACACTAAATCAATTTCGTTAGGAAAGAAACAAAAGCAAAACTAACGAAACCTTATATTATTTTGTTGGTTGTTTATTCTATAAATTTATTTCACAGCAGTTGTTTGTCGGTTGAAATGTCGCAAGATTGCTTATTTAAGTTTTGTAAGAATTGCGAAAATTTCCATAAAACCATTCGTAGTTTTTTTTTTATATCGGATAAAATTCTTTGTAACATATTGAACAACATTTCAACGCTTTATTAAAAAGCAGTAGTGGTAGCGATTTTGGACACAAAATTTATATTCAAGTAACGCTGGCAACGCAACTTTTACGAGTAGCAGCTTTAATAATTCTGCTTTTTTGATATCGAAGTATTGTTTCATATCTTATTAAATTATGATACGATATTAATATTGAAACATAACATAACGTTCTATATTATATCCCACCATCCAGAATAATTTGTTTATGCACCTTACAAACTACTCCATCAACAAAAGTAACGAAGAATTCGACAGAAGCAATGAAAACGGAAGCAAGAGGTTTTCATAAATATAACATCACTTGATGCATGACCTTAAATAAAATCAATAATTAGCGTTTTTGAGACAGATACAAATTAATTTACAAGTATTCCTATGTTATATATATCACGTAAAATTATTTTATCATTGTTATGTATATATATTGTATGTATATATATATTGTATGTATATATATATTACTTTATTCATATATATATATATATATATATATATATATATAATTTATAAAAGTCACTGCGTTTTCGGCATTATTCAACTTGAGAAACTCAACTACAAATTGAATAGTGCCAAAAACGCAGTGATCTTTATAAATAATTGTATTTATGATAGTCTTAAACCAATATATATATATATATATATATATATATATATATATATAACTGTATTCTCAGGTATTGTTAAGCCCAAAGGATTTTTTATTAAGCCTTAACATATTTTGAAGTATTTCTCGTTATTTATTTAATATTTGCCAGAAAATTGTCAACACTAAATGAATGGTTTGAAATGAACGGCTACAATACGGTAGAACTGTGGAAGAAGATAGATGATATAATTATAAAAACACTAATCTCCGTGCACTCAGTTTTGTGCCACAACTACAGAACGTGCTTTCCACATCCAATCAAAGGTGGGTGCGCCTGTTTTGAAGTTCTCGGATTTGATGTCGTGCTCGATAGAAAGTTGAACCCATTTGTTCTTGAGGTTAGGTTGTAATTTAATTACCGTTTCAAACGTCGTTCATTGAAATAATTTTGTTTCACGTATAACATCATCATTTAATTAAAGAAAGAAATGTATTTTTAGTACGCTTTTATGTTGTTAATTATGTTAACCAACTATATAGAGTTGCAATGATAAAACAAAGAAATATTTTTCGCTTTGGGGTATGCAGTTGTGGACTGTGTAAATGAGTACGTAAATGTGAATTTAGGTGTGTAAGTACATGAATATGTGTATAAAGGTGTATGTGAACGTGTGTATGTACGTATGCGCACAGTGGCGGAACTCTAATATATAATTTTCGAATTGAACAGGTGAACCACTCACCCAGTTTCTTCACAGATTCGCAGGTAGACGGGGAAGTAAAAGATTCACTCATTTACGACACTCTTTGCCTCATTAACTTCAGAGCTACCACCAAAAAATCGTGCGACATTGAAGACAAGGAGAAAATCAGATGTAGATTAATAACAAGTGATCCATCAAAACAGTTATGTATTATTATTAGGAAGAATATTGTGATGTGGTTTGTTATAAATTACTTTGTCTTCATTTATTCAACTGATAGTTGAGTTTTTCTGTTTTTCAAACAAAAACTTTGTCTTTTATTGTCTGCAATTTAAAAACTTAATTGTTTATTTATAGAAACAATCAACCTATGCATGATGATTGGGAGAAAAACGTTCAGTTATATGAAGACAAAAATCTCATGAATTACAGGTACAATTCCATGTTCTTTCAGTTCGAACAAATAATAATGTTGAACTTGAAAGTAGCGATGACTAAAAAATTTAAAATTAAACTTTAGCTGTGGGCGGGAAAAATTAATCTCACTTTATTTTGAAAGTATTTCCTGAACAAAAACGCCATTTCTCTATTTCTTAGTTCAGTTTTGTTAATTTTTTCAAAAAGCAAAATTTTAAGCATAATAAGCGGTGTATGAGGCTGCAGAAAATAACGTGCACGCACTTATGCACATGTGCAAACAGTCAACTCCACTAATTTGTGTGAAGGCCGATTTCAGAATCCATGTAGCCATAGTTCGAGATGATGATTATTTTAAAATTTAAATATAACTTAAAGAAATTTACTTAATTTATCAATTTACAATTTGCGAACTTCAAGACGAATATATCCCAAGGACAATGACAACAGATATATGATATTTTTGCAAACAAATTTTCCATTGTATCAAGAAACGAATACTTACAAAGAGAGGCTGAAATGGGCCAAGTTAGCAATTTATAAAAAACTTTCTCAAGGAATTCAGACATAATTTTAAACATACTTTTTATCATTTGGCTGAAGCAGTGTTTTCCAACGGGGCTTCAAAAAAGCAGGAGTTTCCACAATAAAGATAAAAAAGCATCGATGTCACACAGATAATAATTCATCGAAGATACTTACTTACTTAAAAACACTGGTTTCACAAAAAACATTAAACAACATAACGTGGAATAAACGAAAAAGTAACTTAAGTTTTAAAATAACCCATTTCAATTTTGAAAATAAATTTTGGGGGCATGAATTTTTTTACAGAGTTTGGAGCCATGGCTCCAAAAGGTTGGAAAACACTGGATTGAAGCGTCTATTGATGCACCTAATAAATTAATTTCATTTTAGTACAGCCTTGTAAAGTAGAATTTCAATTCTATATTTTTTATTATTGCCTTCTAATAATAAAATGATTGGACAGTTATAGCACATATACGCTATTCACGCAAACCAACTGTTACCGCACGTCCGTCTAACAGTGTGCGAAACATTTTATTTAGAAATTGCAAACATTATGGCCAAAAACTAAGTTCAGTACATTTCCTTATCCAGTTTATTACCTTCTAGTTAAAATTCGGTACATTTTAAATTTGTTTTAAAGTGGCGTTGACACCAAATACAAATAACAATTTCGAAGCACAAGCAAGTATACGTTTAAATTTAATACGTTTATAAATGTTAATTTTCCATTAAATGTTCAGATGTGTGGGGCTTTTTAAAGCTGAAAAGTTACTTCATGGCCATGTAAATACCTAACTGAAAGTTTTTTTTAACTGCTCAGAAATTTTAGATCAGAAATAAATTGTAAACAAAAATTGAATCGGGATTCAAAGGGCAGAAGCGAAATTTATTGCAGTGGGTCTTCAAGTTCATTAAAAATGAAACAGAAGTCTAAAAGTTTTTCATTCATCAAACAAGTTGGTGTTCATTAATGCTGAATATTTATTAGAATAATTTGTTTTGTCTATTTCCTACATTAAAAATATTTCTTTTTTTACATCTATTTTATAAAACTGTTCAAATGCAAGAGGCGTTAAATTTAAAAGATTGAGATGTTCTTCCAGTTTAAATTCTCAACACAGGAATTTTTTGCTTGACAAAATGTTCGTTTGGATATTTAAAAAAAAAGATTTTATTATAATTTCAACAATTTGTTGAAAAAACCATAAAATGCAGTTAGTTATCATTTTCAAGATTATCGGATCAAAAAATTTTTTGAATAAGATTGAATAATTGTTAGCTTTGCAATTCTGCTTTCCAGCTCACTGCTTGGCTTGAAGTTCTTTAGCACGTTTCCTACGTTTTCTTGCTTATTCGAAGTCAAAATGCGTATTTTTACTGCTTACTAATAAATTATACATTTATTGAAAACAAACATTTATCTACTCCATGTTTAGGTTAAACTAAAATCATTTGCTCATGATTTGTATGGGGTGAAAATAAACGACGAGGATGAGATGATTCGAAGGACTGCCCTTAACCAGCGGAAGAGATTTATTGAAAATGCGAACGTAGCGAAGTACATCAACGATTTATTCTGCCTTATTCAAAACGTTTGTATACGTGATTATCTTTAATTACTCTATATTGTGTAATGATGAGTTGTTTTTTAATTATAGTTGTTAGTGATGCTTTCTTGCTGTGTACACCTATATATAGAGCAGCATTTATTCTGAAACGTCTTTACCCAAAAACTTATCAAAATATAATTTAAAAATTGCATTATTCTAGATAACGAGCAATTTGGTCCTAATGAAAAATAACAGGCAAACTAGAAATTAGTACGAGTATCTTCATCCAAAAAATATTTTCATCTTTAATATAACAAAAAAAACATTTAGTCAAAAATTTCTCGCAATCTGGATATCCTAACTATGATGTATAATTTAATTTTTTTACGTTAAGCTACAATGTTTTTTACGTTCGTCGCAGGACCAAAGTTGTCCAATCCAAGCCTCAAACTTCTCCAATTTACATGTTGGTATTTTGCACTTAAATTTTTTTGTTAGCTTGGTAAATGAAATTGTACTTTCAGGTTATCGATTTTATTTAATTTTCGGATCGACTATGGCTATCCTACTTTTATTTCGACTCGCGAATGATGCAGTTCATAAAAATCTTTAAAATAGCTTTTGATTTTATGCTAAGCATGCCATGCCAGTAACAGTTTGCAAACTCATATTGAAAATCACACATTGTTATATAAAATTATTTGTTACCGGAATGCCCTTGGAAAAACGATGTTTGAGAATTTATTTTACAATTTATTTTATTAGAATTGTAACTATATCATAAAATTGTTAATAATTCTTTCAACTCAATTTAACAAGGATTCCGATGAAGGTAACTTCATTTTAGTTGATTTAATAAATTTTATTTTTACTGCTTGATGTTTGAAACATAAAACCATCAATTATTTTATTATTTACTATTTTTATTTTTACAATTTAGTTAACATTACGTTACGTTTCGTTTATTCGTGTTACATTTTTTTCATCAAACGTTTATTTTCAAACTTGAGAAACTCAGTTATCGTTAATTATAAAAACTTTAAACACATTTTTAAAAATATCTGAATTAAAACTCATGATGCTTTATTTAATATAAACCCAAAACTCAGACCAGAATAAAGAGCCGTCGAATACCAACAGTAGCCCAAATATTATTTCACTAAAATATGCTGCTCAAACTCAAGCTCTTCAAAAGGAGAAGAAAGGAAGGAAGATTATGCAGATGGCACAAGTTCACATTACGTGAGACATTTGGAATTTTTCAACTGACAGACTGCCCACGTCTACCTTTTTCAACACTTGTTAACACGCTTTAGAATAATTCATTTTGAAACTAAAAGCAAACATTTTCTTTCACGATTGTGTTGAAAAAAATAAATAAATTAATTATTTTTATAAAAGAGTTCACGTAGTTCACGGAGGAAGCCAAATAATAAAATTCCATTCTTACATTCGGCTGTGTTTAAAAACATGGAAGAATTGTGTGGTGATCGTTTGAATTTGATTTTTATAAGCCAAAATAGTAATGTAAATTATTTTACACGTTAGATAAATAGCTATTGTCGATCTTATGTATATAAATATATGCACATACGTATTTATGTACATACATACATATACATATACTATACCTATAAATTAGAATTTCAGCCATCTTTGTCATTGTCTTTGTCACCATCATAGAATTCATTTGAAGCTTCGGGTCTGAAAATGTGATCATGATCATGTTAAAATAACTCCCAAATTAAACGTTTGAAATTTTTTAATAAGCATGTTCTAGGTGTACAAAATGGCTTCATTATAAGAATTCATGTTAAAACGTTAGCCAATATTCTATAACGTCATGATAGATGCAAGAAGGGTTTGTGTGCGTGATTTTCTATAAAAGCATTTGCATACTACTATTTATTAAAGCGATACAGATAACATTAGTAACTAAATGAAATCTGAAAAAAACTTTTTGTTTGGGTCGTCAAACGTGTTTCTGACAAGATCGGGATCAACATCGTCCATGTTGTCCAGGTTGATGAGTTCTGGGGAGATGTCTTGAAGTTGTACGCTAGGAGAGTGAGGAAGGTGTCGCAGGTTCTCGTGTATGAACTGTTTCAGCGTATCTAAATACTAAACGTTCATAACATTCAATCAATTTCTAACACGATTGAAATTTCAAAATTAATTTAGCAACGAATGATTGCAAGCGATTTTATGAACATACACATACGTGACGCGTATGTTCTTTACTCGTATTAGCGATAATAAACTGTATATTTATATATTTATTATAATATATTTTCCGCTGTAGAACAGCTGTATCGGGATAATGAACAATGCAACAGAATACTAGAAATTTATTGGTATGAAATATACATAAACATTACACATGTAGGCATCTTAAGATGTTGATACTCAAAATGCAATAAACGTACAAAATATCATTTTTATTGAAAGCATAGTATGAAAGAGTCCGAATGTAAAGTAACCATACTTGTCTAGTATTGAGATTCTCCTGTTTTCCAGCAATATCGGGATGAAGTGAAAAATCAGGCGCGAAATATTCAAGATAATCTGTCAATAAAAGACAAAAAGAGGTAAACCATCAAACTTTTGTAGTTTGGAATGCTGTTTTGGCTTTCGAGTGTTTATCGTTCGTATGCATGACTTCATTCAAATTTGAATTATTTAATAATTTCATTTTAGAAAGCCTCTATACACGTTTCTTAGATGTCATTTGGTTGGTTACACTTAAAATTTTACCAAAAAAATGAAATATCATATAGAAACAAATGTTTATGAAGTGATATAACAAAACCATTCTAACCATGGTAAGGCAGTTCGTTGCTGATTTCTTCGTTCAGTAGCACGGATGTTTCGTAACACCAGCAGCGAGCCACATTGCGTAATGTATAACCTCCGCCACCCAGTACCAACAGCGGGATGTTCAAGTCTTTCACAAATTTGACACATTCACTGTACAATATAAATTACAAGTCGTTGAAATATTCGGTGCTAAGGGAATTAGACTTAAAGTTTCTTATATAAATAACAAATTTTACTCAGACGAGCGCTCTAATTTTTAACTAATTAACAGCAATCTTATGAGATGCTTTTTATTCTCTCCATTCGTCATCTTCCATACTTGTCACGATTGCACACAATTGGATTGCAAACATTAGAAAGAATTTTGTGGGCTAATTGTTGATTTGTATCTCCTATTCAAAATAATACATAACTTCGTCTAAATCAACCTAATTTATCATTTAATCTTGTCACTCTACTTGGAAATTTATAGACATCAAAGCAGATTGCTTGAACCCAACAAAGACAATGCAACAAAACATTTTCATTATAATATTCACACATGGAACACCTTGCTGGAAGAGGAGGTCTCATCAACTTCACTTGCCATCTTCAAAAGTCGTCGTCTGCTGTCCACTCATTTAAACCAATTCTTAATTACTAAATGCTTTTAACACCTGACCTGCAATCTGCTTACAGTACATTTAATCTGAATGGTGATATGTATTGTATATCTTGATCGTCATCGTTCATCTATGTTATTAGATTTCGTTGGTGATTAATTTAATCTATACCAATTATTATGGAACTTTATTTTGTAATCCTATTGTGTATTTAATTTTAACGGTGTCATCTACACTGTATATCTTTTTCGTTATACCTTATTCACTTCATTCATTTGTACAGGTGCATATTGTTATCTTTTTCTCTGGAACCATCTAACCAAGTTATTATTTGAAGGAAACTTGCATGGAAACAACGAAATATCAATTCACAAACACTGACAAAAATAATTTTTCATCAAGCCTAGTAGAAGAAGTAAATGAGCTACAAAATTTTTTAAATTTTAATAATGAAAAATATTAACTGACTGACCCATGTCCTCTAGTGGTGAGGTTGAAACAACCCAATCTGTCGTGTCCTAATGAGTCAGCACCACACTGTTTAAAAATATGAAAAGTCATGTCAACTGATTCATGTTACAAAAATTCCATAGATAAACAAAGCAGTTTACTTGCAACACAATAGCAGTTGGTTGGAAAAAGTTGACTACATCTTGTACTACAGGTTTGAAAATTGACAGGTAGGCTGAAATAATCAGTTAACATGCTTCAATAACTATTGATTGATAAGAAACAGATCAAACTTGAACTTGTTCTAAAAAAACTTTTTTGTTAATTTTAATGAAGCATCTATGAACACGAAGCTGCTTGCACATCAATCGTCAGTTAGTTCTAGCTGAACATTTTTAAGATCCACTCCATGTAATGCATGCAACATATGCATTTGTATGTGCAAGCAAAAGTCGCATCATAAGTGTAAGAAATAATTGTTTGAGTTTTGAATGGACAAGTGTTCAAAGCAAATCGGCTAAAAGACGTAGCATTTTTATTTTCTTCACTAACTCGCTTACCTGCATTGTGTTACATTTTCACTGATGACAATATTCCTGCTTACAAAAAAGAGATTTGTGCAGATAGGCTGATAAATAATAACTATAAGAAAGTCCGAGAACTACTGATGTATTAAATGGAAAACCAATGTATACAAATTCTCAGTCTATCTTTTTTAGTTTAAGAGAAACAAAAAATGGCTGAAAATATAAGATGGGACACAAACTTTGATCATCAATGCCTTCTCGAAGAGGAACATTGACAGAATACAAAGAACCGCAATCAACACCTGTCTCGTACATGTCACCTATTATGAATCAAATCAATACACATTCTGTAAATTAATAATAAACTTTTATTTTAAACAAATTTCGTATTAAAATATTAAAAGCAGCAGTCTATGTTAGAAAACATAAAAATCAATTAAAATTTGTACCAAGAAACCAGTTAGAATGTAAAAAAATAAATGAATTAATTGATATAATGAACCTGTGCCAGGGAAGAAATAATTTCCATACTTATGAAAAGAAACAGTCATGACACGGTCAGTGAGGTAGAAAGCCTCTTGTACTCCATCTCCGTGATGGATATCTATGTCACAATACAGCACGCGAGGGTTGTATCTAATTAAATGTCAAACATTTTAATTGCTCATTGAAAATGAGTTCTGGTAATTTCATCAAACATTGCGCCTATTTTGTGATTAGCTGATTAATCTATACAAGTTAATTTCCCAGAGATATTTATAAAAAATTACTTAAAAATAGATTAAAATATACTTCCATACTTTAACAATTCTAGAATAGCTAAGACAATGTCATTGACGTAACAGAAACCAGAGGCTTCATATTTCTTTGCATGATGTAACCCACCAGCCCAATTTATTGCTATGTCACATTGCTGCAAATGAAGACATTAACAAAAGTTACAGTACATAACATGAAGCAACAGAAACAGCAGAAAAGTCACAGTACAAAAGACGAAGCAACAGAAACAAGGGAAACAAAGAGGAACGAACGTTGTTGTTCAGCTTGTGAGCTCCTTCAAGAGATCCCCCAGTGTATAAAGAACAGAAGTCAAACAACCCTTCAAAAACAGGACTGCAAAAGTTTTAGAAAATCATTTTAATGTTTAAGATACTAAATTTTTAAAAACAATTCACTGGTTAAAATAAAATTACATCCAGAATCATAACAATTGTTGGCAATATGATCAAAAATAAAAATATCTCACCAGTCATCGCCAACATTGAACATGTTCAGGTTCTTTGTGTATTTGTCTACTGTCTGAGGAGTAACATTCTTCAAGAAACTGATATATTCTTCTGTATGAAACCGGCACATATCATATTCTGAAGCTTTGTATGGCCTGTACAACTGGATTTAAAAATTTTCACATGAGTTTATATTAAATTCAAAAATTTACAAATAACATTTATAAAACAACAGCAGACACAAAACAAACCTTGTCTTAGATTTCAATGTTATCAATAATTTGTTATATACAATTTTGAATGTTCATCATGCTAATCATGTCAAAGTACATACAACATCAACCTATGATCATTACGTCAATCACATCAACCTACATTGATGCCATCCAACTCAAACCAGCCAAAAACAAAATTTAATTTAAATTAAAAATGCATAGTATTGCCAAAATAAATATCAGCTATGAAAACTGGTTAATAAATAATTTATTAAAAACTCAATTCATCCAAATACATAGCATTGATGATTTAAATATAAAAATGTCTAACTTTCATTTTAGAGTGCAGATCATAATTTAATACAAGGCTATGAGTGACTGCAATTCTATGAGGTTTCATGGGATGACCAGTGCCTAAAATAGTTAATAATTTCTTTTTAATAACCAAATCAATGATTTTATGAAAAAAATTCAAGATAAATAGAAAGTTTAAACTCATTCTTCACAAAACAAAATATGCCAACTAATTAAAACTGTCAGTAAGAGCACCTAGCACGTCGGTGGCTTGCTAAAAAAAAAAGCTGCTGAGTAATTGTGAGCAACCATTTACATAAAAATCTTACAATTTTATTGAATAATATAAAACAGGTGTCTAATCATCTTTTCTTCAACTCTATCCATATAAACTTCATTTATATAGCATGTCCATCTCCAGTTATAAGTATTCATTTATTTACAAAAAGGTTACAAATATCATTCATCTTTCCTCCAGAATTTTTTAGAATTGTGTTAAAATTTATATTGCTTTGCTGTAAACAAAAATACTTTTAGTTAGTTGTAATTGTGATGCTTTATAAGAAGTAAATTAGTAAAGTATATGTAGATATGTAAATGAAAAAAATAGTCAAGAGTCAACTGTTAAAAACCCTCAGTGGCCTCAGTGCAACATTTTCAAGAAAAAAATTGATTAATTAATTAATAATTAGTATTATTAAAATAAAAACTATTAAAAATAATTAAAGTATTAAAGATTTATTAAAATTAAACTATTATTAAACTAAAAAGTAAAAAGTAATTTAGTAATTAAACTATTACTAAAGTAAAAAGTAATTTAGTAATTTATTACTTATTTAATTTTTATATTCTAATCTAATCTCACGTTCTTCTCTAATGTGTAATGCACTCAATACTGTGGCGATGGTAAGATTAAGATTACCATTAAGGTAAAACGTGAGATCGGTACTCCTATGGTATCGTCCATGTTTACAAACTATCGCAATGTACTTTTAATAAATTGACTCTGCCGTGTTGAATTGTCTAGCGCTTGATTATTTATTTATATCAAATTGAAAATAATTTAGATCATTACTATAATAATAATTTAGATCATTACTTGTCAAATATCAATGGCTTGCTTATAGAGTGGTTGAAAGGGTTAGGGCCTCCATTTTTAACAAAATTTTCAATCATTTCATAAATGATTGAATATTTTAACCACTCCATATTTGTGAAATGATTGAAAATTTTGTTAAAAAGGGAGGCCCTAACCCTGTTAACCACTCCATAAGCCATTGATTGTTATCAAAACAGAAATTTACCCATATTATAACTTTTTTTATTTAATGTTCACTATTTCAACTATTTGACAAGTAATGATCTAAAAAACTTACCTAATTAAATTATTTTCAATTCAACATGGGCGGAGTCAATTTATTAAAAGTACATTGCGACAGTTTGTAAACATGGACGATGCCATAGGAGTACCGATCTCACGTTTTACTTAACATTAAAGTAGTTATAAAAGAATAAAAATTAGAAAAGTAGGCTACTCTGCCGCCAAAAGCCACCAGAGCACCTGGAGCAGCGGAAAGCGCAACCACACCAATTTACGATAAAACTGTAAAGAGGTGACAGTACATACCATAATGAAAGTTGCCAACGTCCGGATCGTAAAAATAAGAAACCCGTTTTTTATACATTCTAAAATAGCACACGCAAACTAAAAAATTAAGATAGTAGCACTACGATTTCAAGCAAAATATGTCCATTGTTTACAAATAAAACATTTTTGCAGCGATGTAACAGTCGGGTCAATTAAGGATTATAAAAACCGGTTTCATTTCCTTGCTATCGAACTTATACATGCATTTACGATTTAGATCATATATATAAAATAATAAAAACACACACACACACACACACACAAACACACATATATATACGTCATCGATAATAATAATAATAATAATACTTTTAATAACAATGATGACGACGACAACAACAATACAAACAACGATAGCAACAACAGCAGCAACAATAAAAAGAACAACAACTACAACAACAATAATAATAATGGTAATGATGATAATAATAATAATAATAATAATAATAATAATAATAATAATAATAGTAATAATAATAATAATAATAATAATAATAATAATAATGATAATGATAATGATAACGATAATGATAATAACAATAATAATAATAATAATAATTAATAATATTAATAATAATAATAATAATAATAGAAACGATATTCTAATTAATTTCGCGCTTCAAATTTGTGACATTGTTGGTTGCCATCTTGACAACGGCCACGTAGCATGAACAATCGTGTAATTTCAAATATTTTGTTTACTAATTTCAATGAACCTTTGCGTTTTTATTTCGTTACTTTTATTTTATTTTAATATATTAAAAAATACAACTAATTAACTATTAATAGAATTTATTTAAAATATATTGCACTGATGATGACTTTACGTCGAAATAGATCTATATGCATAATTTTAATAATAATATAAAAAATAAACGATTATAAAAATGGGATCTTGCTTGATTAATTTTGACAATTAAAATCATAAACGATTATAAAATGGATTTCAACATTTTGAATAGACTTAATTGTAAAGAACTAGTTCAAAATATTAGAAAATCAACCGTAAAACTTGTTAATGCTGAATCGTCGGTGGATTTTTTGAACAACTGTATATATATATATATATATATATATATATATATATATATATATATATATATATATATTGGGTTTAGACTATCATAAATACAATTATTTAAAAGATCACTGCGTTTTCGCCTTGATAGAAATTTTGGGTTTAAACTATCATAAGTACAATTATTTATAAAGATCACTGCGTTTTCGAATATATATTTTAAATTTCGTTATATATATATGTATGGTCTCCTCCAACAATATATATATATATATTATATATATATATGTGAGTGTGTGTGTGTATGTGTGTGTATAATATATATATATATATATATATATAATATATTTTCCAAAGTTGTTCTCAAATTATTGTACGATTTCTAAAAAAGATATAAAAATCTTGCAAAATTCGCCTACCAACGAGATGTTATTCTGACCTATATAGTATATACCCAAAACTGTTTGCAACTTTTTTAACATGCCTGGTCTTGTGTTTAAATCATGGCAAATTTTCTTCGACTCGCAGGTACGTAGTCATAATTCCACTATCGAAAAATCAAAATTTGGATGAAAATGACATCGGAAACTACAGACCAATTTCAAATCCCTCATTTGTTTCCGAAATCATCCAACGTGCAGTGCCATCAAGGATACTGTTGAACGTTTGATTCGTAAGCAATGATGAGTTCATCTATGCCCAAACCATTGTACAATCTGATGACAAACAGTGTTTAGCGAATGTACCGCTAACAGAAAAATGAAAGAGAATAACAGTTTGAAGAATGTTGTATTCGCATCTGGATGAATTTTTGGTCTCCCAGAGTGGTGAATTATTTCTAAAAATATTTAGAATATCGTGTGTGTTGTGTGTGTGCGCGTGTGTTTGTGTTTGTGTGTGCGTGTGTTTGTGTGTGTGCGTGTGTGTGTGTAATATATTTAACCTTTATATAATGCAAATAAAGATATACGCGCACGTTATAGCATTCGCGGATAAGTATCTCTTTTTTTGTTTTATTATATGTGAATGGGAGTATTTATATGACTTCGTATATACTTCGTTAGTTAAAAATTTAACACACTGGCGAAAACAGAATACCCATTGAATGCGACGACACCTATTTAAACATAGAAGATAGGTCTCTTCATTCAGATCGCCCGCAGTTCACGTCATATGATGTTAAAATATCTCTACAAAGTTTCATTAACATGGCCAAGTTTGTTACTATTAGTAAGATTTCTGGAATTTATTCACACAAATAAAGCAAAAATTACATAGAATTAACTGACTTTTTAACATACGAAAACAGATTATCTGGTTAATCGGAAATTGTCTTGCGTTTGGTTTGACGTTTTCGAGTTATGTCAACAAAAGGGAGTACGCTTATCTGTTTTCGTTACTTGGAGTATGTGCTCTTTTGTGTATAATTTTTTGACACTTCTTCTTTTATGATTTACGGGTGCTGTTTTTATTTCTATAAATTAAAAATAATTAAATCTCAATTTTATTAAATATCATTTATAACAACATATAAAACGATAAAAAGTTTCAGCATTTTTAACGAGGGTTGATTGAACATTTAACCACCTAATTAATAGTAATATTTTTCAAAATGCGATGATCTGTAAAATGAGCCCATTCAAATGTTTGTTTTTAATTTAAGTTTTAATTGTTTTTAAAGCGCACTAACTACATTTTCCATCAGTTTGAATGTTTTTTTTGTTTAATTTTCAGTATTCCATCGCCATCTCAAGAGGTGCCGCAGTGGCTCTCAATTTGAATTGTGCTCTGGTGTTGCTGCCCGTTTGTAGAAAGTCTCTGTCATTCGTTAGAAGTTGCATCTGCTCTGCACGGGCGCAAAATGTTGGTCAATGTACATTTTTTCATTTGCACATTAGTTGTGGTTTTTTCAATACTCTTTATATACTAATTGCGTCAACTTTGTATATGCAGTGTCTTTGAATAAATTTTTTATGATGCAGTTCTGTCAAACGCCACAAAGGTTGTACAATCCACACCACATGGCAAACATCGTATCATACGCGCATGATAGATTCGGACAGACAGTTTTCGAACCATGCCATCGCTTAATAGCAGCGCGGAACATGACACTGCTACGGACTGAGCTAATTTGGCGACCACCACCACAATACATTTTATTAATACGTATCTCGCAGTACTTTTGTAATGTCAGCCGGCAACAACTTGATCACCACATACTCTTCCACAAAATAATTGCCTACGCCATTTGCTTTTGGACAGGTAATTTGTGTTATTTAAACGCAAAACTTAAATATTTTAAATTCATTAATTAATATTTGAATTTCTCTTAAGTTGTCCATATAGCCGGGCACACGTTCAATTTGGAAAGATTTATAGAAGCCACAAGAACCAAAAACGAGTCAGTCAACTATCACTTAAGCTCTCTGCCGCACAACGCTTACACAACTTGGATAAATCCGATACCGCGAAACAATACGGTACTCCTATTTAATAATTGTAATTATTATTTTATTCGAATTTTTTAAATTTTTCTTATAAATTCAAGAATCCTATATACGAGATGATGGTGATGATTCCAGGATGGACTGGATTGCTGGCCACCGTCATCCTCATTCTCATTGCTTCTGCTTCTACCAAATCCGTTAGGTTGAGTAAATGCTTCACGACTTATAATGATCACACTTCATGTTTTGGCCTTTATTTCATTTGCCTTTATGGCTGGTTAACGTTATTAATTGAGTGGAACATTAACTGTTATTGCAGTGACCGTATTCGATTGCAAGGAGATCCCCGTCTGTCACATGCTATGTGTGTGATGTGTTGTTTCACGTGCATTTACATGCTCTGTGTCTTTGCTGTCGATGCTTTTGAAAAGTATTGAAAAGGGAATTATAATAAATAAATAAATAATTTTCGAAATTTTATTCCTTTTCGAAATTAATTAAGTGTACGTTAAAAGTTGTAAACCTTTATCTAACATTAATTAGACATTTTTTAATTTAATTTAACGTAGACATAAAGTTCACGAGATCTTTGCATACAATCATTACTTATTCATCCTTTTCTTCGCATTCATCGTCGTGCATGGCTTCGGGTATGTTTTCATAATTTAGTATTTAATTCGATTTTGAAGTAACGATAATTTCATTAATGTGTTGTTTGTTAACTTTTACGTACTATTCATTGTGTGGATGCTTTCAACAGCATCAATTTTATTATTGTGGCAATTTCAATTTGTGACATTCATGTTTATGTTTTTGAAACGATTTTCATCAAATTCGAAATAATACCATTTTTTCCTAATTTTCATAGGTAGGGTAACACCGTTAAAATTTAATATCAATTTAAATAATTTAATATTGGTTCTCTTTAAGTTAACAAACAGACACACAAACAAACAAACAAATAAAAGTTTCACTGATTTGCAGTTGTTAACTTGCGTTTAATTAAATGCGTGCCAAGTGAAATATAATGAGGCAATCTTCATTTTTATCTAAGCTGTATCCGCCGCAGAATAAAAATCTAACCATCGACTGCTCGTCTTTTAATCTTTCAATCTTTTAATCAAATTTAAATTTCCAAATGGCGTGAAACTGCATGTTGTCATGAATTATGTTGATCTGCAGAAGAGTTGTGAAACGTCAATCGAACGATGAGGAGCACAGTCCTTACTTGTGCCAAACAGTGCCTGAGCGCTGGGGTAATTCTTCTGAATGCCCACCTCCAACATTTGATTCAGACCCACCTACAGTCTGTGTACTTTCACTATCATTTAGTTTATATTTATTATATTTTTTTTATTTTATGACATTGCTAATCTTTTAGTGTTCTTGTTATTTGATTTAACATGGGAGCCGGAGATTTTTCTAAGAGTTAACTTTTAAATCAGTCGGAGTCAAAATATTTTTGTCTTATTTCTACTTTGAAATGAGTGTTAAAAATTTAAAAACATGATTTCTTATGTTTGTTTGTCTATGCAAGATGAGAATATTTTACCATTTATAAAAGGGATGTAGCTGTTACCAAATGCGCCACGCAACTTATTTCATTTTGAAAACGTGACGCGCATCATTATAATAGCTAGTATTCTCAATCTTCCTCTATGTACAATGTTGACGGTTGAGCCGAAGAATATGATTGAATTTATCAAAATTTTGCAATCAGTTTTAAAATAATGTAGAACATTTTTGAAAATTTGTTCTTAATGTATAAATATGTTAGTCTCAATAAGTAAGCAAGCACTACTTGACAAAATACTTCGACATTCGACAATTTAATGCTCTATGCATTTTTTTTCCAATTAAGTAAGCAACTCCAAAAATAGTTAAAATGAATAATAATGCAACTAGACGTGGATGTGGGTAGTTGGATCACTCATTCTCTACTTCCTCGAAATTTGCTTGAAAGTTGTCAACAGATTCAGAAGAGTAAACATCAGAGAGGTATATTGCAGCTCCATTACTTCTCAATTGTTCTTCAGTTTTTTAAATTGTGTGTTGTTTTTGTTGCAGATAACATTGTATCCAATGAACGTAGTGGAGATTAAAATGACAAAAAAGAATTTTAAGAGTCGACCCGGTCAATATGTTACCATAATGTGTCCTCAAATTTCATATTTTCAGTGGCATCCATTCACTCTAACTTCAGTTAATATAAATAATTATTTCGAAATTTTCATCCCAATTAAGCATATCAACACATACAACGTCATTCTGTTTAAAGTTTTTATGGTTTTATAAATTTATCAACACACCATACCTATAAAAATTAATAAATGAATAAATAAATTTTAAATTGAATGAAATTTGAAAGGTCTCATATTTCGAAATATTTTGCTAAACTACAGTTTGATTCATCAACTTAAAACTGACGAAAAGTGTTTTTAAACCAGCAAAAAACAATTCATTGAAAAAACTACAGGCGCCAAACGATGATTATTTTTCAGTTCACGTGCAAGCCGTTGGCGACTGGACAAATAAATTCCTCAAATTAGTCCAACATTCAAAAGAGGATGATTCTGTTATGTTTCCTAAGTAATTAATCGTTTCATTACTATTATTAAGTATTAGTAGAATAGTCATTTTAATATTAAAATAGAATAACTAAACAAGTTTTTCATTTTCATGATATAGTTGTTGAGAGATGAATTGTTTTATTATTATGAGCAAATTATTAAATGTAAATGTATATATTATATAATATATATATTATAGTCACGGGAAAAACATTTTACAATTTGTAGTTTAGCCGTTGATGGTCCGTTTGGAAACTGTTGTGAGGTATGGTTTTGTTGCTGCTAAATGTATTATTCAAATGACTAGCTGTTTTTTCTTGCATTCCGCAGAATGTTTACAAATACGAAGTTTTGCTTTTGATAGGAGCTGGGATCGGTGTTACTCCCTTTGCTTCTATTCTCAAAGATATCTGGTAAGTTAACAGATTTTGAAAAGTAAAAGAATAACTGCTGATTTTGAAACCAAATTTAGATAGAACATTTAACATTTACAACCATGGTATTTTACACCGTAAAAACCTTAAAGAAGCGTATTTTTATTCCGAATTAGTAAATTGTTTTAATGGTAATTTTTATCGAGCTAGAGCTCAACATGTCATATATATATTATATACACATACATATACACGATGTATATATATATATATATATGCATATATATACATATATATATATATATATACAAATATATATATATATTATTGTGTATATGCGTTTGTCTGTTTAAGTGTAACACATGACAGACACTACTATGTGTGTGATTATTTATACTTCATTTAATGAACAACGTGTTATTTTATTTGGGAATTTTATCCAACAATTCATCAAGCTACCAGCACATGAACAATAAAGAAATGGGCATCGTAAAGAAGATAAAATTTATATGGCTGTGCAGAGATCAGTCTTTCAAGTGGCTCGACGGCATGCTCAAACAGTTGGAACAAACGATGCAAAATGCCGACAAACGCGATTTCATAGAAATTGAAATATTTTGGACAAGTGGATGGGACGTAAATATGGTAAATATTTTTAATTTTTATGGCACTTTCAAAGTTTTGGATGAATCTGTTACAGTTTTTAGTAAGAAAATAAATTTGTTAGGTATTGAAATTTTTAATGAAAGCCTATCGTTTAAAATAAATAAAATATTTCATTTGATTTTTTTATGTATAACACATGGAGTATAACATAAACTATCAAATATTAATATTTATGGTCAAAATTTGTGTATGCTAATTTTGAAAATATTTAAAATATGAAGTTAAATGTTAAAAGTTTATTGCTTCCAGCTAAAAGGTTTCAGCAAACATATCAGAACATTAAAACATCGTATAATTTTTTTATTCATTAAAATAATATAGATAAATAATTTTTTTAATTCGATGAAACGAAAAATAAATAGCATAATTACAAATTAAGTATACAACGGTCCTACCATGTTATGTGTATTATAGGCAAGTACCTACGAACTATAAGATAATCCTTAAAAAACTATCAATGAACTTACCGGAAAAAACTCCTTCCTTCGTCAACACCAGAGATAACCTACTTTATTTTAGTAGTGGAAATAAAACCCGTCAGTGAATAATTAACTACTAATCCAAATTAATCATTATCGAACATAAAAAACAAACTTCAACGTGAGTATTATCTACCTCTCCTATGCCAATCTCCATTAAATACCTCGCCTAGCTACACAATCTTGACTGATTTATTCTTTAATGTGTTTTATTTAAAATAACTAAAAAATTAAATGCTCATACATTGAAATGTTTTTATTTTTTGCCCAGCAACAACAGATGGTTGAAACAATAAGTGATGCTGTCGATTGTCTAACCGGTCTTCGAAGTAAAACTCAGTTTGGAAGACCGAATTGGAAAAATATTTTCGAAATTCTTGCTTCCGAGTATTTGTTAGTTGTTATAATTTGGCTAATACTAGTTATATAATAATTATAATGGTTGACCTTACTAAGCAAATTATGTAATGTAATATTACAGATTAAAATTAAATAAAATTAGATTAATTTATATTATGTATTGTAATATTACAGATTTAAATTAAATTAAATTTCAGAACAGAAAAAATCGGTGTCTTCTTTTGTGGACCTAAAGTGCTAGGTAAAATATTGAAAAATCTTTGCATCAAATATTCTCGGATGCCTCATATAACACCGCAGTTCGTTTACCATAAGGAGAACTTTTAGTAGTACTAGCGCGTTTGTTTCGTCTAGAGTAATTTCGAATAAAATAATTGCGTAATAAAAATTTTCTAAAACGGACTTTTGCTTTCAAATTTCATTTCTTGTTCACTATTTTTCTTGAATGCTGGAGGTCTATGTGGCTTATGGTCGATCGTAAAGTAGGTACCAATCTATAATGCTGACAAGTGAAATTGCAGCACGCATGCGTTGAGAGACGTCAAAATGCGAAGTTTAGAATTCGTTACGCAGAATTTACTTTAAGCGACAACATTTTTGTGTTTTTGTTAAATTTTTTCTAATCTATTGCAAGGAGTTCTTAATAATTTCTAACGTCACAGTACAATAAAAATAAGGTTTCATTGCGTCCTGTGTACAAAGTCAGCAGGAGGACTTAGAATCCTGTCTACAATTTCGGCATATGACGATACGCGTATGATCTCATTGCAATCGAATCCATTCATTGCAAAACAGACGCACTTTACACAACACCCGCCCGCCGTTTCCCTGTATAGATTTGCAATTTTTTTTATTTAAATGTCAAAGTGTTTCTCACGTTCCAATTTTTTTCCCAACAAGGTCGACCGGAAAAATGTTTGTTTCTTGCGTCAAACGTCCCAAATGGTCTGTTAACATAGCATAATATAGCAAGAAATAACATGACAGAGTTTAAAATGGTTCATTAAACTAATAAGGGTTAGTGTGAGAACAACTGCCAATTGTGTATCCAGTATCCCAGTTCTTCCAGTTTTGTTAGTCGATTCATCAGAGACCGTCTCCTCACTCAGCTCATTCCAGGCGTGCTTACTATTCTGCAGTTAAAGAATTTTTGCTTCATTGAACTTTCTGTCTTTCCGAAGTGTTTAATAACATAATAGTTGATCTGGAAGCATATAAAAGCATATGAAATATATTAGACTCTTTCAACCAATCAATATAATAGATGCATGACGTAATTGCTGCTCTTTCTTTCAGGGAATGAAAAGAACTCAAAAAAGCGATATTACTGTAAAAGAAAGCCTAAATATTGATGCACATGTAAATATGTTCAAATAGGTGTCTATGTATATGAGTGTTCCATATACATAGGTAAATCAATCCTCAATATATTAACAATATTTATTTGGCTTTCCATAATTTTGAGAGTTTTAGTGGTAATATTCAAAATTGTTTCAGCCGGGTCACCTGCTTGTTTACAATTTATACATAAAAGTGTTACAAACTAATTGTATTTTATTACAACTAATTATAATTATTTATAAATAATAATATTTAATCATTCATATATAATTTTTGTTAATTATTTTGTGTGTTTTCTAGTTTTCATAATGACATTTCATTCAGTGGATGGAGATGAATTTTAATAAATTTTCATAATGACATTTCATTCAGCAGTGGATGAAGATGAATTTTAATAAAAATTCTGAATGGAGTGAAAAAAGGTTAAATATTTTTTTAAAACTATAGGTTAGGTAGAGGTAGTATAATATCATTTTTTAATTTATATAAATAATATATCATATAACAATTGAATAAATGGTGATCATATATTTTTTTTATATGCCAATTATAATATTATAATTAAATATAATAATATATCATCTGATATTTTAGTTTTAGAGGTGGAAGTGGAAAAATGAAATGATTTCACAGTTTATTTATTTAAATTGAAATAAAATGAATTAATTAAAAAGCAAGCCAAGCCCAGCCAAAAATAAAGCAGAAAATCCAATTACATGAACACTTTATAATGAAGTTTTAGTAATTTGAATGATAATGAAAAGAATTATTTACTAACTAACGAATGAGCATCATTTAATTTAATTTTTATTATTGTTTACTCTTACTCTGTTGTTTTTGCCATCAGGATAATTAAACCACCAGGGCGAATGCTAATGAGATCTTCAAACTTGAAGCCCAACAATAATGAAGATGATGATGGGGATAATGTTGACAGTAAGAAAATTGCAGATGAATTGCATTCAAAAAGTTTTGAGCAATTGTCTAATAAAGGTTTTCTTATGCCTTTTCGTTCTTTAAAGTTGCTAATATGGCAAAAATTTAATTTAATGAATGAAATATAACAAGAGTGATCAAATTTTTTTAAAGAAAGCGCTCCCATTTTTTGAAAAAATTTTTGATTAACGCAAGTAAAAATGTTAAGTTTTACTAGCCTATTCAATTTGAATGTGTTACGTTCAAGTATTATTTTTGAACATGCATATTATTTAGCTTGTTTAGTGCTTATATGGACTGTGACTGAGTTACATGGCGTTCCTTCAACCTGCAGGGCTTCTGAATGTGATGTAACTGAAATTCTTTTTTTTTCCTTAGAAATTTTATGAAAAAGCCTGAAACACTTTGACAGCAAGCACCATAATGCTGTTATAAACCAATAAGTGTTGAATGTTTACCAGAGAAATGCTTTTTCTTTTCATAATGGAATTTTAAGCAATTAAAAATGTCATAATTTTTTTTTGTTCGATTAGTTTGAAAAAATATTTGATACTAATATATGAAAAATATTTAAAATATAAAATGTTTCCTCTCAGGTGTTAATTCAAGCATTGATACAGGCACTTCGTTCTTAACTGATGCCTTTGCTGATTCAACATGGGCCAAGTAAATTTAAATTTTTCAGATGAAAAAACTACAAAACATTATTATCAAATTTTTTAAATAATTGGAAAGACTTTCCGAGTCAGTGAAAACAATGACTAGAGCTAGCAGCATTTATCCTGAGATTTATGGTTTGTCTGCTTACTTTGACTAATCTGGAATTGAAATAATAATTTATTTCATTGGAATTAAATATTTTTAAGGCATTCAAAAGCAAAACATTTGGAAGACCTCAGTTAAAAAGTAAGAAATTTCTATCACCTCATCTGTTGGTTTTGAATTTTTTTAATTTATGGGTATTTGTACGTTTGAAAATAAATAAATTACAAAAATTGGTTTTCTGTGAAACTTTTTCAACAAAACATAACAGTCAAGTTTTATAACAAATAAAAAGGTATATAAATGACATATTTTGGTTTATTAAGAAAAAATTCAAATTTATAAATTGTGATTTAAATATTGAAAAATAATTTTTTTCAATAACTAAGATAATTATTTTGTTATCAATGTAATGTTGAAATAAGAAGAATGTTTTCATTACTTATAATTTTGCCATGAACAAATGTTTCCTAGCGTTGAATTTATAAGTCTTATAATAACATAAACATTGTATGTGCTTATTTCTGAACTTTTGCCTTATACTTCCAACGTAAATGTGCATTGTTACATTCACAAGCTATGTATTATTTCACATGAATAACTTCTAATTACAAAAGTTTTCCTCTATCAAGCAATGAAGATGGCGGAATGTTTAAGTTTTCCATATTATTGAAATGATACAACTCGTCACGATTTGAATCTGAATAAATATAGACTATAGGCCTATAAAACAGTACTTATGGTCTCTTTAGTAAATTTTCATTCCCTTTGCGAATTTTAATAAATATTTTTGAGGAATTTTAAACTACACATACAAACGATTATATCCAAAAGAAACCTATGCTGTGAAAGTATATTTTTACACTGAACCTTATATAGCAGAAAAATCTAGGTTAGGATCGGTTAAAATTATCGGACTAAGATGGTTTAGATACGTTGGTAGAAAATTTGTAGGCGATTATGTAAGGAAGTGTGCAATATGACGGTGAAATAAGCGGGAAGATTCATCTAGGAAGAAGTTAAATGACAATGTCCTTTGGCCTTAGATCAAAAACATCTTTTGACAAAACAGAATGTATCAAAGCGTGCAGTCATGTAGATAGTTACGTTTGGAATCCGAAGCCACGTTTGCATCATATTTCTAGATTGTGCTTGATGTCAAAATTTTCTTTTTTGCCAAAAATCATTGATGAGACCAAAAAATTATCACCAAGTGCCCAGTCTATTATTGCAGTTTATCGATGGTATTGATTAATATCGTGCTTGCTTGTGTTTTCTTAAACATTAAATCATTTAAAATAGTTTGGCTTATTATAAGGTTTTCGCATTTGTTATGTCGAAAAACCATTTTGCTAATATTCCAGAAATGATGATGATGACAATTTCTAAATTATACGATTCGGTTTTCTAAAAAACAATATTCGATCAGAAATATTTATTAACATTATAATGAGTTTTATAAAACAGACCACCAATCAGAGTGCCCATCGAGCAGCAGTTGAAATATACTGAAGAGGATAATCTGCAACATGGCGAAATTAATTCTCCAAACGATACCTCAAGAGATGATATTGATCAGTCAACACTTGTCCTTTCAACAGAAACATGTTCTGGATGGAGCGTTTCAAAACTGAAAAATCCTCTTGCAAAGTAATTGCAAAAGTTTCAAGTGACAAACCTTTAACATACAATTTATTCTGTAATTAATTTTTAAGTTTTTCGGAGCCCATTGAGAAAGCAGCGACCAAATTTTCGGAATTAGATGGTATGTTGAAATGTTTCTTTTTTTCTAAATATCCAATTGTTGAATTTTTTCGAAATATTATTTTTTAGATACTTCCAAGCGAAAAGTTTTGACAACCTCTATTAAAAAGTGAGATAATTTTAATTGTTTAGTAGTCCTTAACATTATTTTGACCTATTAAAGTAATCGTTCAGTGTATTTTAACTGTATATTAAAAGTCAGATCAAAACTTATTTAATTCAAACTTCTTGATCTATGTTACTGAAATCAATTTTGCTCCGAATGAAGCTGCAAACCAGAGCTAACTCAGCCGTCAGATATTTTTTGATTGTTCTCAATCTTTGTAGCTGAAAAACCTCTTTGTCGTATTTTATATACATTATATATATTGTATAATTTTGTGTTGTCTTGTTGAATTTGTTCAGAGCTTCTGATGAATTGATTTCAATAGTTTTAAGATGTTTATAACAACAGCCTTGACCACAAGTTATGCGTTAATAAACTTACGTGATCATTCTTCAAACCAAGATTGCCAACTCTTCTATCTCCTGTAATTTTTTTATGCATTTATTACAAAGCCAAGTTTCAAAATCACTTTTTCCCAACTTTCAATCCTGTTATTGTGGTTTGTAATATTGTTGCCACTTTTTGAAGACTATTCATAGGTGGACGTTGTTTCCACAATTCTGTAGTGAGAGATTAGGTGAAGAAATTCTGTTTAGCACATGAGAACTGTGCAATATTGATAACAAGGATTTAATAAATTGTTATGTGACCTTGATTTAAAAAAGTTTTTTTGAGAGTTGGAATGAATACTATATTTTTAAAAATTGCATTTCAATTCGTTTTTTTTAATTTAAAGACAAACAATATTTAACTGAAGCTGCAGATATAGTAAATGTATTTATTTTCTTATTAGACCACCAATGAGGGTTCCTATTGAACACCAGATGAAATACATTGAAAATGATGATTTGCAATACGGCGAGGATGCTGTCACCAGCGATATCACAGGAGATGATGTTCATTCATTTGTGAGCAGCTCTCTACAGATGAAGACTGATCATTACACGACTTTAAAATTGAAAAGTTCAACATTATCATGCGATAAACTCGACAGAAGAGATTTTAATTTGTCATCCATCAAAGAAGAACAAGGTTTTTATGCTTTGCTCTTGCTGTTACACCCGCTTGTTAGAATTTTGCAATGCGATTTATTTATTTGATGCAAGACATCGAGATTAAAATGTTTGAACATTACAAAGTTAAGATCGTCAGCATTTGTATGCCTGTTGAATAGTGAAAATTTAGATGCACTTACAGATCTTGCTTTTACTGACACTTTTGATTAATTCAATAACCTCTTCAAAAATTTTTTTTGAAAGTGCTGCAAAATGTTTTTTCGCCATTTTCCTTACAATCTTAAACTTCCGCAATGATCAATATCGTGCAGCAGCGTTGTAAAAAATATACATACAATCAGGAAGAACACATGATTTTTTGTTAAAACTTCATTGTATTAACACCATACTATATATCTTCACAGTAGTTTCACTACATTCTGCCAAGTTTCATGAAAATTTTTGATAATGACAAATTCATATTTGCTTGCAGATGTTACGTCGAGCGTTCAGACAAATTTTTTGTTCGTAACCGATTCCACTGCAGTTTCAACACTCGCCAGGTAATGGTGACTGGTTGAAATAAAAAAACTGTAACGCTTACTAATTCGTTAATTAATTTGAAAGACTTTCAGGACCGTTGAATACGTCAGGTGTTATTTCTACTGAAACGTTTGGTTTGTTGATTTGGGTTTATAATTTAGCAAATCAGACATTCATTACATGATTATTATTACAAATATTGAATTATTGTTTGAATTGTTATTGAAAGAAAATAAACTTCAAGGTGCTTGCAAACTGAATGTTTCGACAACATCAGTTAAAAAGTGAGTTTTTTAATATCGTATGATCAAATGAATATGTATGTGATTGTATTGATATATTCATTTAGTGCCTGTGTGCTTGTATGAATATGTATGTGAGAGTGTATCCGTGTTTTAGCGTGTACGTGTGTGTGCTTGTACGCTGGATGTTCAATTCGTAGACATTCATATTTACAACGTTTACATCATGCTAATAATTTCTTTATTACAACACGGAGGTTTTACTATATATGTATGTGTCGTGTATTTGTATTTAACTGCTCTATATTTTATCACAGTATCGCATTTATGAACTGAAAGGCAAAGAAGTAATTGGGATAGCATTTATTTCAGTTGTGTGTATTATTTTCTTTACTAGACTTCCGATCAGAGTCCCTATTGAACATCAGTTGAAATACACAGAGGATGATGATTTGCTATACGAAGAAGTAAATGTGCCAAACGATATTTCAAAAGAGAATGTTGATCAGTCAACACTCGTTATTTCAAAAGAAACAACTCCTGGACTTAATATTTTAAGATTAGAAAATTCAATAATATTTTATGAAAGGTGTGACAAAAAAGAATTGAATTCTCTAAAGTTTGAACCATCGACCAACAAAGATGTTTTAGGTAATCAGACGGAAATTATTTTCGTTTGAAAATTGTCTCCATTTTTTTTTTAAATTTTTTTACATTAGAATTTTTTAAATTCCTGTTTGCCAAAGTGAAAAAATTCAATTGAAAACTCATTAAGTCTTAAAAAAGTTGGAACTTTGATATGTAAAATGTCATTCCCCTCTTGGGATAAGCTACTACTGAGAGAGATAACTATTTTTCGAAATGATAAAATTGTTTTTTAAATTACTATCTAATGCTATCACTAACTAAACTTATTCAATCAAAAAATGTGAGTTTTTGAAGAGAATTTGCGAAAACTAATTTCGGCTTTCTTGTAGCTGACTAACTAACTAACTGTTCAAAACTAATTATAACTATCCCAACATACGGCATATACAAAACTCATCGTACAGTATGCTTACATAAAGTGATCATTTATGTGGGCCTTATTCTCATTTAATTCTGTCTACTTCACTGACGCGTAAGCTAGATGTTGCTCTACCGAGTTGCATTTTCATATAGTTTTTTAAATTACCTGGTTTCAACAAATGATAAGCCTCGTTGTTTTGGTTTTTCATAAATTTTAAACAGATGAGTCTTTATGACAATTTGTTTAATTTTTTTCAAACCACTAAGATGACATGCAGCAGTTTAGCAATTTTAATGCAGTCAAATTTATAGACAGCCTTACAATGAATTAAAATGCTAAACAAAATTTGTATGTCATAAACTTAACATTTATTTTGTACCCCTGTCTAGATGCGATCCATTCATATAAAGCTGGGCCGGCTCTTCCCTTCTATAGCAACTCTCACGATGGTATTGTTGCAACGGCCTCAAACTCAACTTCAATCATTAAGTTAATACTTTTTATTGGCTATTGACCTTTTTACCATTAGATTCTTTTAGTCCGTGGTTGACGCTGGTACTGCCTAAGCACGCGGCCTAAGCACGCGGACTGGTCAACTGATTGGTTGTAATAACATTTCAAACTGCATTTATCAGTAAATTGGTAACGTTTTTTTAGTTGACTTTTATTTTTAAGGAAGAAAATTGAACCGCCGAGAAGGGTTTCTAAAGAAGAAGCAGAACTAATGAGCAAGCTGTATTACGAAAGTGAGGATGACTGCAGTTCTCAAGAAGACATCATAAATAACTCAAACTATGTTGAAAAACTAATAGACAGTTCATGTTCAACGATTGATCCAACATTTGAAACTTCCACTTTTTTACCCACAACAGCATTTGTTCATGACGACTCTGCAAGTTGCTTCAGCAATTTGAATGACGGAAACTTTATTTCTGTATCAAATTATTCATCAATCAATAAATCCCTAATAGAATCTTTTGTAGATGTTTCAGCCAATTACCTGCTTGCACATCAAGACAATGAGACAAAAACCTTTCAGCAGCAGCTATGTATTGAAGATGCGTTTATATCGTCCCCTACCATTGATTCTCTGTTTGGGAAAAACACTGATTTACCAAAGTTGAGATCATCTTACGGTTTATTTCAACAGGTCGATGATCCATTAATTACAAAGGATTTCATGAAATCTGATTTGTTCGATGTCTGCTCTTTGAAGGAAGGTTCAAAAGTACAACCGCCACATTCATTGCGTTCATCACATACTCTAAGTACTGTAGACAATAACAATCTCCTAAAAAGTGAAACACGCCAGCAAAGGCTTCCATTTAATGTTTCGCCACCATCATCTGCACGCTATAAGGATAAAGAGAATATTGAAATTAATGCTAAAGCTGAATGCAAGGCATCTGATGAGCATCACTCAGCTAAAAAAGAAAATGGCTTGTGGATTGGGAAAAGATATTTCACGAAACATCATGTTATTGGCAATGGAGGTTTTAGCGTGGTTAGTGCAGTTTATATTCTTTCGGTACAAACTCAGTACACTGCCTTTGTAATGAATTTGAATCTATTTTATCAGTTATTTCTACATATTTTTGTTGTTGATGATTTTGAAAATAGATGAAAAAAATTCAACGAAAAAATTGTCCGTTTCGGAATGGTTAAGTCTTTCAACAATCTATACGTATACGTTTCCCCCTAAATTAACTCATGTCGTTTTTATTCAACTGTGATTTTTTCTTCTTCGTGCCGTTGATGCATTGTATAGTATCGTAGTTTTTTAAATCCTAAGAGCGCTTCAATTGAGTCAGCTTCAGAGGTGTTGATTGCGCGTCTTGTTCAATGGGTGATGTTTTGAACGCCCATCGAAAACTTCGCCATTGATACTTATGAAAACTTTTGACTAGTTTGAAACAATTAGTAAAATCACCCTGAGTACATTTATTAACACCAAAAAATGTTAGCACGTGTGCATTTTCGTAATTGTTATAAATTTTATAGAGCTTTACGCGTAATTTTATCACATGTAAATGTGATAATTGAAATAATAATTGAAGTTGAAGGGCGTTGAGATAATTTGAAGTTGAAAGGCGTTTAAATGTTCGTCTGTCAGTACGGCTTCAAAAGCCTGTGTGAACAAATATGTTTAGGTCGGTTTTTAATTGCCAATAATCTATTTAAAACAATTTTAATCGTGTAAGGTTTATAAAGCGTCCAGCGACGATATAAAGGATTGTGCCATAAAATGTATTAGCCTGGATGCTGGTGATGATAGCACTATTTCAAATTACATGACGGAGATCTATATAATGAAGCAACTTAAAGGAGAACAAGGGATCATTCAACTTTTTGATTAGTTAGAATTTTCTTCAATCTAATAATCTTTTTCCTTTTCGTATATTGCAAATGTCGTTAAATAGATGTTTTATATTATGTGGATGGTAGCTTTAATTGGTGGTGTTGTTTTATGGGGTGAATGACATGATTTGTATTTGTTTCTTATTCAGTTGAATAACCTTAGATCAAATGTGATGAATATTTCAGTGGTTGACAGTATGGTAGGGTGAAGGCAAGTAGTTGAGTTGAATTAATTTTTTGATGATAGATTGTAGTTGTTGAAGTTATTGCTGGGTAGTGGAGCTATACCAGGAAAGAACTGCATACTTCATGTGTGAGGTGACGAATGATTCTGTGAGATGTTCTAGGTGCATGAAATGTTTAAAACCCTTTAGCTGGGGATGTGTTTTGGTGCAATTTTTAGTGTGAGGGAAATTGCAATGTCTAATATTTTTAATCGGTTCGTTTGAATGATTTATGGATGTTTTGGATGTGCGCCTGTTCTAAATGTTTGAAAATTGAAAACTAAATTTTATAAAATTTCCACCATCGTTTTTGATTTAGCATCAGATTTTTTAAAGAATGAAAATGTATGTTGCGACTTTTTATTTTAGTTTTTACTTTGAGAAATTACTGTATCAACATTTTGTAGTAGGCCAGTTTCAACAAGGTGAATCAGTTATGTAAGCTAGTGACATTTTTTTAGAAGACTGAACAAACACAGATATATTTATTTAAAATCTGGTGGCATTTGATACAAAAATGTTTCATTCTAGCCCTCATCAGAAAGATGCGGAATTAATTTTTGTAAATGTTTGTGTCATGTAGACACGAATATATCATCAGACTTTTATACCTCACGTTAAAATTTCGTTATTTTCATAAACCAAGTCAGGATTATATTTATAGAAGCATCTAAACACTGTAATAATCTATTCATTGTCACGTTCCAACGTAATTTTTCGAAGTTTTTTAGATGAAAGAGAAAGCAAATTGTACTTGGTCATGGAAAGGGGAGATACGGATTTAAAATCTTTCTACAATTCTTACCTGTCGTTGCATCCACACAAGAAAGAATCACTCATTAAATTTTGTTGGAAAGGCATGCTTACTTCTGTTCAGATTCTGCATAAAAACAGTTCCGTTGTTTTTTCTATTTATTTTTTTATATATTAACAATTCAATTTTATTAATGAAATTTAATCTGAATATTTTGAAAAGTGAGGTTCGATTAAAAGTTATTATTTTTTTATTTTTAAAAGCGAAAATAAGCAATTGATTTAAAATTTTTAATTAATTTTCTTGACAGAAATAATCCACCTGGACTTGAAACCTGCAAATTTCATATTGGTAAATGATCAATTAAAAGTTATTGACTTTGGCATATCTAAACGAGTTAATCCGGACAATACGAGTGTCACCTGCAATGATATTGCGGGCACTTGCAACTTCATGAGTCCAGAATCTCTCTGTAATATTGACTACAACAGTACAAAAGTAAAAGTTAGTTGAACTGGGCTTTTTGATTTTTAAATTTGCGGTAAAACCTGTCAAAAGTGCAAAATTTACCTAAGCCGGATCGTCTATAAACCAAATTTTTGTTTAACTCAGAAAAGCATTAAAACGTATAAATTTTCAAGTTGAATAAAGTTGATAAGGACATAAGCCTGAAAACCACCAAAACGAGATGAGAGAGGTGTGTGTTTATTCATTCATTTACATGTGATAAATGATATTTAAGTTGTAGATCAACTGAAACTAAAAATTCTTTGCTAAAACTTACCCGTCAGCGTTTTTTCTCATGCGAGATAATTCAACAAATTTGAAGGTATGTAGGAACCTGCTGTCAGTTGATGAATCCGAGTTCTCGTCAGTAGCGAAAACTAATATGTTCAAAATAGATTGATTGTTTCAAAGTATAAAAATTTCTAACCGTTTTAAAATTAGTATGGAAACATTAAAAAATATCCGATAAAAAGATAGCGACATGCGTTAAAAGATGTTTTGAAACACACGATACCACACACCGTTATCAAATAAACCGCTTATAATTAATAAATGTGGTTTAATAATGGTATAATGTAGATTTATAACAATTGAATTCAGTTATTAGTTGATTAAAATTCTCTTTTGATCCGCGGGCACGTTTCTGCATAGCCTCTTATGATGATAAATTTCTAGGACAATAAAAATTCGCGACTTTTGTTTCACGACCTCTAAAGCAGAGTCAACACCTGCTAATGTACACAGGTTTTGCTGCATAGGCATTTATCTTTTTATTTTTTATAAAATGAAGCTAATGTTCCGTATTTATATTGTGATCTTAATTCAAAATTTTTGCAACATAATTTAAAGATCGGCGTGAAGTCTGACGTCTGGAGTCTTGGCTGCATACTTTATTACCTAGTATATGGAGCTCCTCCATTTCATAAAATAACTAATAATCTAATGAAAGCATTGGCAATCATGAACGGAACTTACGACATTCAGTATCCTGAAAACGATCTAGGCTCGTTATTAGCTCCTACAATTAAGGTGCATATTTATTATATATATTTAAATAAACGTTGTTGCTAGAATTTTGATGTAGATTATTTATTAAAACACATTTAATTTAATTATGTTACAATCGTTCTGAAAAGCAGCTCAAAATTAAATTCTGATCTCCATAATGTTAACGTTCATTTCAATTTAACTGACGTCAGATTGTTTCACTAAAAAATTACTAAAAAATTACTAAAAAATTACTAAAAAATTTACTTTAACTGGCCCAAAATAAAAATTTTCAGCATTTGCATTATAACTTGAAATAGAATTAACTACCTTAACAACTTTTGAAATCTGAATGTAATATAATGTAACATCTTTGTCTAGTGTAATTATTTTATATTTTAGGAAATATGAAATTAATAATTTATATAAAAACTGAGTCTCGTTGTTGACAAAGATTCAGCTGATTTTGGATCAAAACAAAAACTGTGACCAAAATTCGATTTTTTGACCGAACCCATCTTTAGCTGGTCTCTAACATTCTGTATATGGGTTAAAACAAAGTGGTTGCTATAAATATAAAATATCAATAAAATTGTGTGGTGTTGTCTGGTGTTGCTGCCGACAAGCTGACTACTTATTTGAGATCGAACCATTTTTTATTTCACATCTAATGTTTAATTATTTAATGTTGAATTGTATTTAACCTGATATAAATTTATAACGAAGCTACCAATTGAACATTATATTATTATATTGTTTATTTATTTTACATTACTCACTCAAATTTTAATTCAATCCAATAAACAGAAATGCCTGGCGAGGGAGTCAAAGCTCCGCCCATCAATTGAGGATCTGCTCAGTGATCCATTTCTTCATCAATAAAATTATGCTTTTTTCTACTTTTAAATCCTGAAACCCAATTATTTTAGCTATTTATAAATAAGAAAAAACAATATTAACTATGGTTTTAATAAAAAAATTAGAAATTTTTTATTGACAAATTTGTTGGCCTTTGACTTATTTAATAAAACTTGTATAGTTATATAAAATTCAAAAAATTAAACATTTTTACAGCTAATGCGTTTCGTGGCAACCATTTCATACGATTGGTTAGTTGACTCAAACGGCGCAAGTGTCTTGTCTCGCGTCGTCGTTGCGCGATGACCTGGTTTGATTTATTCGTCCAAAACTCGAAAACTGGTAATGAGATTTGCGTATGATGTGGTGCAAAACAAAACGTATTTATTATAAAATGTGCCTTTTTATTTAATTGGAAAAAAAATCAAGTGATTATGGAGTTTTACAGCAAAACACAGATTAATGATTTTCTATTTTAACAAGACAGCTGTTCATTACACACACCTAACATCTAAAATGGAACATGAGACCAAGTATACGACTATTTATCATAATTTGTTATTATTAATAGTTAATTAATTTGTTATAATAATTGTGTGCTGGAATCAAATAAATAATTGATAATGCAACGTTTTGAAGTGCTCCGTTATTGCCTACCTTTCCTACTGTACAAGATGTACGGTTAAATGCAATTATTTATGAATATCTACTAATTTTTCAAACGTACAACCGCACCTAAAGCCAGTTTAAGCAACGGCTGAAATTTTGTAAATAACTTACGAAGCTAAGACGGCGAAAACCAGTTAGCATATGATTCTCATGCCGTTTAGCCACACGGGACTGTGAAACAGCTGCTATAGTCAGAGGTTACAACTTCTATCTGCACGCCGACTTATCTATGAACCTACATTCAACTAAGTGTTGATTCATTAAACCAAAAATGTATCATTGTTAAAATCATTATAATAAATATATATAAAAAAACAAATATATTACATTCAATTAACTAAAATTTGGTCAATTCTTCCATTGTTTTTCTAGATTTCTTCTGCTTGTTCATGAACATTTCTGATGTATTTAAAAGTGATTGGTAATTCGTAAGACTTTGAATCTTCTCTTCTATTTTTTTAGAGACGATTTTATCCCCCCTGTAATTTATTTAAAATGAGTATTATAATGTGTAAAATCTATTTTAATAAAAAGAAACAAATCGATAAAAGAAGTGTCTTTACTCCGAAGACATAAGATAAACATTGGTACTATCCTCAATTCCACAGTTAAAAATAGGTTTTATACTGCAAATCGCACAGTTGCTTCAAAGGTGCTTCATCAAACAGTAAAATTATGAATAGAAGTGTTCGGAAAGGAATTTTTGTTGGAACAACATTTAATACAAAAATAACCTCAGAATGTTTCTCTCCAGACTCATTTTCAGTTTCTGCATTTCCTCGTTCGATCTCCGCAATTCGTCAGCTGTCTCCATCAACTTTTTATTTTTATAAACATCTCATATTAATCAAATATTAATTACTGATGACATTCAGAAAAACACGTTTTAGTTTAGAATCGGTTTTTATATCACAAAAGACATCAACTTAGATAACAACAGAAGTATGAATCAAATAAAAAAATTCTCGAAGGAATTACGTTCTAAGAGAGGAATGAATTATTTGAAACAAACAGTAAATAAAAGCCAAAATGAGATCACACAGAGCACAAATAAAATGAAATGTTAATTCAAATTCTCATTCATTGGCAGCATAATGCGTACATCACAAAAATACTGTAGCAACAACGGCCGATCTAGGGGAGGATGGCCGCTTCGTTTTGTGGGCAGTTTTGTAATTAAAAGTCAGTAATACAGACAGGAAACCACCGATTTTAAGTAAAAAAATATCACTGCGTAGAAACAAATCTAAAATGAACTGATATGTATAACAACCAAATTTTTGGGGGTTCAAAAATGGACGAAAGAAATAATGTCACCAACTTGAATGTTTATATCTTTGTCTGATTTCTTATTTAATTCCTCTGCGGATATATGTTTTCGTTGATGGCCTTTAATTTGCCACGATTGTTTTTTGTGTTTTACATGCCTCTGATCAAATACTTTTTTATTTAAAACATCGAAAATATTTGTAGACGGTTTTTTAAAATGATGTTTCGAATTCTTTGACGGTTTTTTATCGAGCGCATGAGCTGATAAATACCCATTATACCTTTCTTTCATCTCCATTATTTTATCCAATGATTTGCCTAAAAAATTAAATATTGAACATTTTTACTCAAATAATTTTCAAATAATTATTAAAATGAACAGAATTCAATAAAATAAACACATTCAACAAATTTTCATCATGGTAGCCTTCATTTTGTTGTAAAAATTCTGTCAATTGTTAGATTTACGATGAGAATTTTTATAATGAGATTCAAAAAGCACATCTATTAAAACGTGAAAATACAATAAAAAGAAAAAAGGCTGTACTGTTCGATGATGTGCAGGCAACATTTTACTAAATGCCAAAAATATTAGAAAAACACAAGCAAACGAAACCTTACCAAATATCTGAGGCAAAAAATGAAAAAGTACACTTTGAAAAAAATATTTATTTGAATATTATCAAATGTAATTTTACCAGCTGGAAGAATATTTACTGGCACAGGAAGAGATCTTCCGTCACTGTTTTTTCCCAACCCCTCTCCAATAATATATCCCATCTTCAACATCAACTTCGAACCTATCCCCTGTCATTGTATTCAAACGACTAAATTTATTCCATCATTATTAGTTGACTTTAGATATTTTTTTAATTTGTCTATTAACGAATTTATAATAATATTTTTATTTCTTAAATTATCTATTTATTTAGCCTCCTATATCAATAACTGATTCTTTCAAATACATACTTATTAGAGTTTAACTTTCGGCATGCAATTAACTTTTTGGCTTTTGAACCATATATTCACCCTATAAATAGCGCAAACATGAAAGATAGCGCATGAAAAACATAATTAAACAATTAAACACAGTAGCTGACTTGCCCCAAATGTATGCCAACGTAGATTGAGCAGAGACAAAGTATTTACAAATAATCAACAGCATTATTTAATTAAATCATATTAGAGTAACAGATTTCAAGAAATGCATTTCAAATGAGTTTTTGTTTAGCTGCGATTTTCGTAGAAATGTCGAAAAATTACATAGTAAATATATCTGAAAAAAAACTAAATGAGAGACACACATCATCACGTAAAATTAGTTTAAGAAAAAATAGAAAGAGAAAAAAAAGAACACTATGACGGCACTATGGAGTTCAAACTAACTAAAAAATCAACATTTACATAAAAATGCCAATATATATTGAGCTATAGAGAATGTACAAACTCTCGTGTGCTGCTCCCACGAACCCAACTTTTCAGATGTTTGAATTTTCAGATCTTCTGCCTCTCTGTTACAAGTAAGTGTTGCTGATTCACTAATTTCATTGTCTGTGCTCATCTCATCTATGTTATCTATGTTATCATCTAAAACAAATTTATGAAAAAATTCAATCTTTCAAACCCAATGAGAGTGTGTATACGTTTCAAATAATAAGAACTTATTTATCCTCTAGCTGAACAAACAATTCATTTCATGACAGATTCAATTGTAAACCTAAACACGATACACTAAACATGAGCTACATATATTGGCAATAAGTTGCAATACAATAACAAAGTTGACAAAGCATTATCAATCACATGGCGATTTGACGTAAAGTCATTAAGGATAAAATTTATTTTCCATTTTATTAACCACAATGTATAAAATAAGACATCGCTATTATGTTAACTTCAATTAAAACCAACTTTATTAAAATAAGCTGCCTCAGAAATCTTTTCCATATTGTAAAAATTAGCAAATAGGTTTTTAATACATTGGTTTTAATCGAACTGTTACCATAGAAAGTGCATCACACGCACATAAATAATTGAACATTCAAGTTGTGCAGTTTATATGGTAATTACAATAAATCTGCAGTTTCTTCTGCTTGGTGCATCACTTTGAAGGTTCAAGTGATGCAGTTTCTTCAAATTTGTTGTCAATTTATTTTGTGTAGAAAACAGTTATAAACAATTTATAAAAATTTCATTAGACAGCGAATACAAAGCAAATTACCATAGTGAAAATCGTTTATCCAAACTGAGCAATGATGAAAACTCACCAATAGGTAAAACATCGTGCAAATCAAACTGCACAATGTGGTGGCCATCAAACATAATTTTGATCTTAACATCTGCCTCTTCAACCTTTTGATCATCGCAATCATTTTCTCCAGACCGAATGATGTCAACGACAACACCCGGACGCCACAACTCGTCACTATCCTTTCCAAGACATTTGCTGCCTACCTTTAATGACCTTCAAAGGGTCAGATAACAAATAATTAATAACGTTTTGCATTTTTATTGTCATAAGTAACGGTTCAAATGGTGTAGCAACATAAGAAGTAACATTCCAAGTCATTTAGTGTGTTATAAATTGGAGGACATAATTTGCATTCATCGTAATATCATCATCGTAATCAAAATAATTCATCATAATAATTTAATTGATAAGAATATATGAACCGTGAGATAAAAAGAATAAAAATTGTTCAACAAACTCAAAATCAGGTTCCTTAAAAGGCACAAGTTCAGAAATATCAATGACATAGCCATGGGACAACCTGATACAAATATAATTAGTTGAATGTATAAATCATGAACAAAATGGATCATTTTTCAGATTGATTTATCAACTAAATTCTAAAAAGGTACTGAATTATCAAAGAAAGAAATGTTTGTGTATTAATTTAATAGAAGACAATAAAATTTAAATAGAACTTAATTAAATAGAAGTCAATAGAAATTAAAAATTATTAATATATATTCAAATGAATGAATAAAATGTTCAAAAAAGATCTTCAGACAAACCTGCATTGGGAATCTTTGAATTTACATCTACCTTCAATGAAGTATGGACAGAGTTTCATGGAATCGTGAGTGGGATTACAGAAAAGCACTCTAACCTGTTGAAAATCATGTAATTAAAAAATAAAATCAAAACAACGAACCCCTAACTTCCATTAACCTATTTATAATAATGCAAAAGATCAAATAAAGATGACAAGACAACATCAGAACCTTATCTTTCTGCGGCTCCCGACAGAACACAAAAGCATTTTGATAACTCATCTCTCCCCAACTATGGAAATAAGGTACTCTGCATTTTAAACCGTATAACCCATCAAGTTTATCATCATCGTCGTCGTCGTCATTATCATCGTCGTCGTCGTCGTCATCATCTAAATGATCCTTGCTTTCTGTAAATACTGAGTCCTCTCTTTCAATGTCTAAGGTCTATACATTATTAATATTGGTGTTATTGTTTTTAATATTGTATTATTGTTATAATTATGGCTAATTCTTTTTTAATTAATTCTCAGGTGTAGCAAAAAAATAAAATACACACAGTATATGGAAATATGTTTGATGGACAGAGATCTCTTTGCATTCTAACACAGTCTCTGGAACAGTCTCTGGAGCAGTCTCTGCAACAGCAACAGGGACAGGCGCCTTAACAATCATTACACCAGCTTCCTATAAAATTGCTTAATTACTCTTACTTTTTGAATAGTTTTAGTAAAAAAATTACAACTTTATGTTACGTAATGATACACTCCTTTTACTCACATATTTTATTATACACTCACTTGTACAGCACTTTCATTAGCATCCACAAAAGCTAAAAGGTTACTTTTTTTCAAAGCTAACAGGCTTTCTGTAAAGTTTTAAAATGCAAAAATAAAATAGGTGACACTCAATAGGGGTAATGTAATGAATTTGAAAAATAATAACATAATAGGACAGATCAAAAAGCCCCTCAAATTCATAAACAGGACTTTTTTTCTATTTCAAAAGGAATTGAAATAGAATTAAACATATCTTATATATTATATTTATTATCTAAATAAAAAAAAATTTTATGTAATAAATAGTTTCAATAATCCTAACTCTTTGACTATTATCCAAATTAAAAAAACAATGAGAGAGAGAGAGAGAGAGAGAGAGAGAGAAAGAGAGAGAGAGATTTAAAAAAATACCTTCAGTTAACTTGATCAACTGCATGATGTCCTCTTTCAATTCTACTAGTTCATCAGAAGGTTTTATCATTAAAAGGTCTTCTACTGCTTTTAACTGTAACAAAATTATCAAAGTATAATAATCAAATAGTGCAATTTTTCAGATTTTAATAAGTTTGATGTGCAAGTTGGTTGTGGTTTATTACCATTGAAATAATATTTTTATTGATGTAACTTGTAACAGAACAAAAGGCTATAGGCATAGAGAGTAATACCAAAGCAGTGAGATTAATTTAATTAACTCTCTCTAAACTAAACTAAAGTCTAAAACTCTCCTAAATTAAGTCTAAATCTCTTGTGAGTGGTCATCTTTTCTTTCCAAACCCAGCTGGTGGGTTTTAGTAAAGCTTCAGGCAGTGGTGCTTATCATGTATGTATGGTATGACGCATTACAAAGGTCCATATAATATTAATATTATAATATTATTATAACTGTACTATTTTTTTTTGTACTGTTTTATTTTGTATCATTATTTTTATAATATTATATTCATTGATCCAAGGTTTTTACTTTTTTGGTACTTTAATTAAATTAACCTAAGATTTAAAACAAATTAAACAACAAACTTGTATTTTGTGATTATTAAGAGAATCAGCTAATTCTTCTTCGTTAGACTCCATTTTATCTGGGTAAAAAAACTACCATCCACAAATTCTGCATATAAATTAACACAAATTAACTAACGTCAGTTACTACACCTAGGGCAACGCCAGTTACTTTCTTTATTCCAAGTTAAAAGTAAAACTCAGACGTTATGATGGTTTTCTAACGTTATGATGGTATTCTTACATTGCATGCCATTGTCATATAAATATTACTTATTTGTCTATGATTTAGTAGCGCTTTTGAGATTCAACAATAAAAAAGCGCTGTATATAAATTTTCGTAATAATAATACAGTTTCAGTGTTGTTAATATATAATTTAACTAATTTATAGGTCAACGTCATATATATATATATATATATATATATATATATATATATATATATATATATATATATATATATATATTTATATATTATTTTCATTTTTATTAAGTGAACATTTGTAAGCGCTTTTCTAAAGTTATTCAAATGCGAACAATGTGCACTATGAGCGTTTTCTAGCTTTTTTCACGTTAAGTCAGCTGAGAACTAATTATGCTAAACCCATATAAATATAATGTCGTGTCCAATTGAACTTACTATCCAAAGCGCCAATAAACAAAGTTTGGTTTTATTTTAATTTAATCTTAATGTCCATTTTTGGACGTAAGAAAAATATTAATATAAATTTTTACTGACCAGAAAGCTTATTATTAATATATATAGGTAATCTCTCACTTTACGTTGGTTTGTTGTTTATTCTCAATGCATGGGACACAAATTATGTGTTTTAATTAAATTTAGTTGTTGTCTGCTAGAATAGTGAGGAAGTGGGGGAAGACAATGATCAACGATATTAAAATTCTGTTAGGATTACTACCAACCAATAAACCATAAAAAACAAATTATGAGCAAAACAAGTTAGTAGATGTCTGCTAGAATAGGGTTAGCGTTAGATTAGTAGTTATTAGTAGATTAGAACCAACCAACCATGAATAAACCAATGTAAAGTGAAAGATTACCTATTTATGTTTATATGTGATTGGTTTTAGGTTTAAGACAGTTATAGTTGCATCACCATCATCAGTCAGGTTTTACGTTTTAAGACTAGGTTATCCAAACAGTGTCTGTAAAAATACAACTCTCATAATAAAATAATGTTAAGAAAGTGAAATTTTGCTATGATTTGATTTTTGAATGATGCAGTCTGAATTATTATAAGTTTTGTGTAATTTTTATGTATTTTTATGCATTTTAAAACTTTTATATGGATTTCATTAAAAAAAATTCTTTTAGAAATTAAGTATTTGAATACTGAAAAGTGTTTCAGTAAGAGTTTGAATAGTTTTTTCTAAAGCTCCTTCATATGGTACATTATTCTTTTTTCAAATTTTCAGATTACAAAATGTCAAGAAAGGTTTCTAACAATGAGGAAATTGTACAAAAACTTATTCACTTGTTATGCAGTAATATAACAGGATTAACTGATGGTAATTTTTTCTCTTCATTCGTCATCAATTAATGGCTTCTAAATTAAAAATGAAATAGTTTATTTCTTATGTATAATTGAGGATGTATTTTTAAATTGTTTAATTATGTAATTTTTATTTACCTTGTTGAATTATTAGTTTGTTTTTTAATTGTACTTTAATAACTTTGGTTTTTTATTTTTTAGTAGTTTTTATCATTTGACTTTGTTTAATGATGTCGATACCAAATTGTTATTAAATTTACTTTAAATATTTTTTGTGATCTTATTCTTATTTGTTCTCCGAAGATCACTTAATAGCTATTTAATTGCAATTTGGCTTGGTTTGAAATAAATAAATAAATAACATTTCACAATTTGGCTTGGTTTTAAATAAATAATTAAAAATGAAGAATTAAATTAAAAAAATGATTATTGAGTTTATATAAAAGGCATCTAAAATTCTTTTATGAAGTGGTGTATTGTTTTATAAATGATATGAGAAGTTGTGGTGTTGATGAACTAACTTTGTAAATATATTTTTTTAATATCATTGTTCAGTTTAGAAAATTTTAACCATTCTTAGTCTTGTCTTGTTTTTAGTGTTTCTAATCAAAATTTGAGTTTATCCCAAATTGTAATGAATTATACAAGATGGCTAACTAGCCACCAGACATCAAGATGGTGTTGCCTGACATTTTTATGATATCTGGTATTTTGATGGTACCTAGTATGGGATTTTAATTTTTCATGCATATTTTGATGGTTCCTTGTATACCTTTAAAGAGAGGGCAAGTTTTCTATAATTTGTAATGACTAAACTGAACAGAAGGTATTATCATTTATTTAGTCTGGTAGTTGATGGAAACTTATGTATATGCGCAGTAGGAATTTTTACCAAAAATTACATTGTTTCTTTTTCAAAATAATTGCCTAAAAAAAATTTCAGATGCTCTGGCTCTTTGTTACAAGCAGGCTTTGTTTATTTTGGGAAGGTTGTCCCTTTTTTTTTCTTTTATTCATATATCAATTTTAAAATTGCGGCATAATTTTGCAGCAACTTTACATCAATTGTCTCCAATGAGTTTGAAGTTGCTGAGAAGATAAAGCGAAAATGTAGAGTATATTCTACTTAACTCATTATCGTTAAAATTTTATTAACACTTTAATTTTCAATAATTGATGTTTACAGTAGTTCGCCACAAAAATGAGAAAGAAGCCGTTAATTTTTCTGAACTTCATGTCAAACTGAGATGCAATGTTAGTAAGTTTTTATGGAAACTATTTGTAAAAAGAAAAAATTTGATGTTTCAAGTACATTTTGTGTGAATAGAGAGCCAGATTGACATTGTTCTGATATGTGTAGTTATTATTTATATTTTTTACATAGGCAATGATGGTTAACATTTTTTTTGTATGAAAACAAATGAGATTTCTAGAAACATTGACTGATATTTTAAACCTTTTTTTTTTAAAATTGATAGCAGATATAACATAAAAATTGTTTCTTTTCTTTTTTGAGATGGCTTTGTTAAATTTTGATATGATGAATGAATTGTTCTGCTGACAGTTCTTCTGACATTTTTAATGATAATAGAATTACAAACGGACAATAGTTGTTAGTTATGAATTTTATTTCTCATGTTTATTTCTTACAGAGTGCAATTGTTGAAAGACATTCAGTTTTATTTTTCCTATATAAAATGGCACTTTTTAAAGATCAAAAGGTAAGTCACAATTTTTGTGATATGTTATTTCATGTTATATATTTTAATCACCATTCATTGGCTTATTTGCTTTAATATTTAAAAGATATTATTAAAATAAATCTTTTATTGTCGTTTGTTCTGTGAAAATATTTTCTAAAAGGCTCTCTCTAGCCTGATGAGTATGCAGCGGTTGTGTGCAAAACCTCAAACTGGTGAAGAAGTTGATGGGAAGAATCTGAACAGGCTTCAAATGGTCAACTTACTTGCCGAAACTAGCTGCCCTTCTTCAAAGTTACATTCATTTGAATTGTAAGGGCGTAAACACTAAAATATATTTCAATAAATATAGAATGAAAATTAACATTATCATAATTTATGTCACCTCACCTTGTGATGTTGTTGGATGTTGTTGTTTGCAGGGAAAACGTTTTTTTACGAGTTTATGAAAGGATAATCAGCTCAACAATATTAATTAAGATGGACAGTTATCTTATAATTTTAAAAAAGAATTTTTTTCTATTGATTTTGATGATTGAAGGATTGAAGATTCACTTGTTGGCAGATAGAGGGTTCATGGTTGATGCTACAAGTAGAATTGATGATTAGTAAACAAGGACAAAGACAGTAAATATATAAAGTGCAGAAGATTGAAAAAAAAGAGGATACCACAAACACATCTTCAAAAGAGGTACTCAAACAAGAAAATAAAACAAATGAATGCAAAGTGCAAAATGAATATTGAAACTATTAAAGATAAGAGTGGAAATAGAAAAACAAAAAATATGGTTGTACAGAAAGTTTGGAAAGATTATTTTCAAAAACTTCAGGCAGATTTGAAGATGTTGAATGAAATTGTTGCAACCACCAACAACTAACAGGAGATGAAAAATTTCTTATAGGAAAATTTGAGGGTGCAATTAATGAGTTGAAAGACTTCAAGTCTACAGGAAATCATAACATCATAGCAGAAATGATAAAATCTGGAAGGAAAACAATTTTGATGAAAATGAGTAAACTCGTAATAAAAGTGCAACTCAAAAACAATGCCAGAAGATTGAGAAAAAGTTATGTTAGCATCGAAATATAAATTGAAGGGAGTGTAGAAGCTAACAAGAGACCAACTGCACTGTTGAATTTAGCTGGTAAATTATATATACACGAAATAAAATTCGTTTTACATGTTTGTTCTACCTTCTTAATCACATTCAAACTTTTTAAAATCTGAATTTGTTTCATTTGAAAGAGTTACATCAAGTTCAAAAAATGCTTCACAAAGTACCGAATATGTCACTAAAAGAAATACCAGTCTGAGAAGTAATCAACATTCTGGTAATTGATTTTTTAAATTTATGTTTTTTTTTATTCAAGCTAAAAAATTTGTTTTGTTTTTTTTTTTCATTTAGGCAAAAATATTAGATTAAGCTTCCTATCGAATTCATCATTGGTCATATGAACGCTGAAAATGCTGTTTTGCTTCTTTAATCCATTAATTTCTTACTACATTTCAGATTTTGTCTTTGTTTTTAAAGATATAAAACTTTTCTCTGTTTCAATTCATAATTATTTTTCTTAATTATTTCATATATTTATAAATGGTTGACAGACATGAAAGCTCTAAATTTAAATGAAATGGATACAACTGATCGTCTAATTTGGCGCAAAAAATTGATGGCAAAGAAAACAACGTCCTACCTCGGGGAACCGGGTTTCTGGACGCTAAACGAAGATTGATTGATTTATAAATGGTTGATTTACGAATAAAAATTGAAATATAAATTACAATGTTATTCGACAGCGAGTGAATCATTCAATAATTAATCATTGAAGTATAACCAACAATATAGTGATAGAATCCTTGTCCTGCTAGTTACACTTTTTTTAAGTTTTCGAAAATTCAAGATAAGCTTTGTGATGGGTCTGAACTTTAATTTTTTTACCGAGATGCACTCCAGCATTTTTCAATGTATTGTCCTTCTGAAACAACAACCATTTAGAAGAACTAAATGTTGTTAATTTTTTTTTTATGTCAAGTGTCACCGAAGGTGTTGGAAAATATCCTCTTGAATGACATACTGTTTGTGATCCTGGGCATAGATGGCAAGTACATCAAGTACAACTACTCGTCTGAAGCTTATGAAGTTCACACCCAAGTTAATAGAAATTGTTTTCTTACTTTTTTTGGCAATGCAGTTGTTCACTTAAATGGAGTGACATCATTAATGTTCTGTAATTTTCTCACAGCGGTTTTGCAAAGGCAACTTTTATTCAATTACAAAAAATAATTTTTTCCCATGTCTTTAGAAAAATGTTAACTACGATTTTTTAATGGTTTTATAATTTCAGTATACAATTTTTTTATTTAGGAAAGGATTTCAAAGTCATCAATTCAGTTAATAAATAGATTGTGTGAATGTGGCTTCTTGTTCAATAAAATCAGAAAGTATTCTGATAGCCATATATCTGAACAAAAATTCGGTTTAGTCAGACAGGTAACTTTTAGTTTTGTGAATTAAAAAATTTGTCGTAAAATGTATTTTTCATGTTATATGAATGATGGATTGTTTCGTCAATCTTAAAAATGTTCCATTTGAATAATAATTTGTTCCATTTGCACTAGAGCTTTTGTGCTTCTCTCCAGCGTGAACTGTCAGAATATTACCGACTGGTGGCCCTTTTGCAATCTGAAGTTAGTCCACCAAGTTTCATTATGTCTGCCAGCAAACTACTCTTAACAACAGTGTTTGTTGTGAATTTAATTGAAAGTTTTATGTTTGACCCACTTGGAGCAATTTTTCATTCATATGTTTTGTTACACACCACACACACACTCTAAACAATGTTCACTGGTCCAAATTTATGCGTAGATTTTCTATTTCGTACTTTCAGTTTATTAGATTCTCCGTTGAGCTAGCGAACTTTTTTATCTGCTTTTTAAATATATCATGGCAATATGATACATCAAGAATTTTTTGCAACATTTTTTGTTTCAACAAAATTTGTAAAAAAAAAACTGAAGGTGATACATGAAGACGATTGTGATGTTTCAGTTGGTTCTTTCGATGGCATGACTTTGAAGAAGTTGTCAGTATGGCTAATGCAGCCATCGCTCAAACTTACAGTTCTGGCTTCTTTGCTCGATTCATGCAGTGGTAAAGATATAATTTGTTATATTTATCGTTTTTATTGAATTTTTGTTATTTTTTTTTAAATTTTGCTATTTTTTTATTATTATTATTTCATAGCACGAGCAAGCCCCTTGCCATCACAAAACAAAACTCAAAAAACTAAGCAAAATAAATGATTGACCGAAGGTTAAAGGAATAAAATTAAATAAAACATAATTAAACCATCATTCGATTCGAATTATCAACCGAAAAATGACTGTAAATAAAAATATTAAAGAAATTTTCTACAGACATCAATTAGAATTAAACAATTACAATAAATTAAAAGTTTGCTCGCCAATTAAACTTTATATCACCAAAAAAATCATCAATTGTCGATTTAAAAACAGACAGAGAATCCGCATTAACAGCAACCGAGGGCAGCATATTCCAATCTTCCACCACTCTATTTGAGAAGTAGAATTTATGACAGTCTTTATGAGAAATTGAGGCTTTTAACTTGAGGTTATGTCCTCTTGTACGCTCATCGCCAGAAAAAAACAAAGTAGGTCCAATATCAGCCGAAACACCCTCGTGTATTATCCTATAAACTAATATAAGATCGGCTCTTCGTCGTCTGAAGGCAAGAGACGGCAAACCCAGTTTCCTCAGTCGATCATCGTATGAAAGATTTCTACAAGACTTTATCAAACGAGTTGCTCTTCTTTGTACCTTTTCCACCTCGTCTATTAGTCCAACTCTATAAGGATTCCACACTTGAACTCCATATTCCAAATGCGATCTCACCAACGATTTGAACAACAATAAAAAAAGCTTCGTTTGAAAGGCCCTTAAAGTTTCTGGCAATAATACCCAACATTGAATTTGCTTTGTGCACTGTTTTCAATACATGGCTTCTGAACCTCATTTTATTATCCACAACTATTCCAAGATCTGATAACTCATCAACTTCAGGAAGATTGAACCGCGAATTATCATCATCCACAATGGTGTATGAAGTACACGGCTGGCGGGAACCGATTCTTAGTAACTGGCATTTATCAGTATTTATTTTCAATTTCCATTCCTCAAACCAGGTTAGTAATTTTCTAATAGCTTGCAAAAAACTATTTTTGTCTTCCTCTGTTTTCAACACTCTAAAGATTTTTGAGTCGTCAGCAAAAAGCAAGATATTATCACATACTGAAGAAATATCATTGATATAGATAATAAACAGTAGAGGGCTCAAAACTCCACCCTGGGGAACTCCACTCAGGACTGGTCTTGACTTAGATAATGTATCCTCTAATTTCACCTGAAATGTTCTGTTGTTGAGATAATTCTCAATCCATTTTACTATCTTACCATTCACCCCATACCGCCCCAGCTTAAACAACAGACGTTTATGTGAAACTTTGTCGAACGCCTTTTCCAGATCCATGTAGATTACATTGACTTCGTAACCATGATCTGTTCCATCAACCACCGCCTCTAAAAATTTCAACAGCTGCAAAACCGCGGAGCGTCCAGGAATGAAACCATACTGACTCTTCGAAAAAAGATTATTTTCCATAAAGTATTTCATAATATGGTCCTTTATCAGCCCCTCCAGGACCTTACTACAAATTGACGTCAATGCTATTGGACGGTAATTCTGAGCAAGATCTTTTCTACCTTTCTTGTGCAACGGGATCACATGACTCTGCCTCCAATCACCAAAAACGATACCCTCATCCAATGAACATTGAAAAATACGACTCAAGTGAGTGGTAACCACATCACGCATTTCCCACAGAATTCTTGGATGAATCAAATCTGGACCCGCGGATTTGCCGGTATTCAATCTCTTCAATTTGTCTGCTACCATTTCTTTATTTATCTTCAAGTCTTCCATTATTGTACCATCAATTACTGGAAAATTTTGGTCGATAAAGTTTATCTCCTTTTCATAGACCGAGGAAAAAAAATCTGCAAATGCTTCTGCTTTTTCTTCAGCATTCGTAACAATTCTACCACCCACCGATAGTGGACTCATCGATTCAACATGTCTGGTGACTTTCTTTACATAGTTCCAAAATAACTTCGGATTATTTTTATAATTACTGGCAATTCTATCCTGAGATTGTTTTTTCAATTCACTGGTTATTTTTTTTATTTTTTCTCTAATTTTACGGTAAACTTCCAATCTGTTATCGCCATATCTATAAGTGGATCTCCAAATCAATCGCTTTTCCCTGATTAAATTTTTTAGCTCATTGCTCATTTTAAATTTATAATTGTTGTTATTACTTCTAACAGGAACAAACTGTTGAGTATATGTAGTCAATTTAGCTCTGAAAAATTTCCAGAACTCTTCAGTATCCTCATTCTGACCTGTTCGATTATCAAGTTCTTGTGACAGAAGCTCTCTGAAACTTTCATAATTTCCTGAATCATAACAATACTTTTTCTTGTATTTCTCAGGTGGGCATCTGAAACCTATTACTTTGAATTCCACAATAGAATGGTCACTATTACCCAAAGGTGGATGATGCATAATGTTGCGGACCAACTCTTTAGCTGATATTACCAGATCTAGGATGTTTGCTGCCTGTCCATCTCTGAATCTTGTTGGAAAGTTAATATGTTGAATTAAGAATTTATCTTTCAGAATACTCAAAAATTCATTTTCAATTTTTTCATCACTTCCTCTGCAACTAAATGTCTCCCAATCAATTTCAGGAAAATTAAAATCACCCAACATTAGGAAATCACCATTTAATGAAAGACCCTCAATTAACAAAGATAACAAATTTTTATTGTTTTTTTTCATCAGACTTTGGACTTCTGTAAATAAAAACAATATTTAAAATACTTTTGGACATCACAAGTTTAACAGAAATATGTTCTTTGAAATCTGATTTCATGGCAACCTCAGAAACAACTATTGAATTTTTATAGTACAACACCAAACCTCTTTTGTTGACTTCAGCAAAACCTGAGGAAATGATGGAGTAACCATTCATATTTATTTCAGATAAAACTCTACAATTTCTAAAGTTTTTTGGATTTACTTCATTCAAAACTATCAAATCTGGTGAAATCTCCAAGCTCTGCAAAAATATTTCTAAATCCTCAAACTTGTTAGTTAAAGAATCAACATTGGACATAATTATACTTAAATTATTGTTGTTGTTACAGCTTAAATTATTTATGATGCTAAATTTTGCCTTCTGTAAGCAATCACATGAAAGTCTCCTGGTTTGCCTTTTAACCTGAAAATCCACTTTGTGATATCTTCTTTAGCAGCAATTTCACTTTTTTTCTCTTCAAGAATTTTTTTATTACTGATTCTGTCTTCCTTAGATCATGATTTATTATAACTTTACTAAAACATGTTGAGTTTCTCAGTTTAAAACAGTTTGCAAGCAACAAATTCTTGGTAGTTAAACTTGCTAGTTGTACTAAAACTGGTCTTGGTTTGGCCTCCTCTGATTTTCTACCCAACCTGGATATATCAACCACTTCTGACTCAGAATCTATATCAGCAATCTCTTTCAACAGTTTGCCAACACATACCCTGGGGTTATTTTCCTTCTCATCTAAATTATATAATATTATGTTATTTTTTCTTTTTTCCCTATCATTATTAATATCTATTTTGGTAGTTGTATCTAAAATGGATTTTTGCATCTTTTTAACATCAGTCGCAAGAGTGTCAACCTTCCCTTTTACAGCTTCTGAATATTTCATTAACACTTGTTCACTTTTTTCAACTGTTTTTTTAGTTATTTTCTCATTATCTTCCAACTGTTTTAAAGAAATTATAGATATATTTTCCATTCTTTTTCTTAAATCTGACCATTCTTCATTTTGTGCATATATGGCTTTTTCAAGAATCTCCATTTTTGACATCATGGAATGTGTAATGTCTCGCATTTCACTTTTATAAACTTCCAATGATGGTCCAAAATCCAAACTGGCAGCCTTTTCTGTTTCAACCAAAATTTGTAGCTTTTCCCTATTACATTTCATGCATTATTCACATAACTTTAATCCCAAGTTATCATTGTCTGTACACTTCAGTTCTGAAACTGTGTCTTTCGGCTTTTTCTTTCTTTCCATCACTTGCAATCAATTAACGAGATATATTTACCACAAAAGAAACAAATAAATAATTAATTTAAATCAAGTTAAATTAAATGTTCGGTTTTACGAGTTTTACGAGCGATAATACGATAAACATAAACGTATTCTCCTATTTGTTTTAATGAATTTGAAATTTTTAATAAACTTGGCTTGCTTTTTGTGATGTAGCATGTCTTGAAATGCTTCTTTCAAATAATTTTTATTTGATTTTGAATGCAGGAAAAATAGGAGGTGAATTAGTATCAACGATATATTCATTCATGAAACATGGTGATTCCTACATTAAATGCTTAATGAAAAACACACTTAGTCTGGTTAGAATTTAATAATGTCAATTACAAACTTATAACAATCGTTAATTTTTAAATACTATACTGAGCAAATTGAAAAGGAAATTTTGGCACAGAATGTGGTAAAACTAGATTTTATTTTATTAATAATTAGCAACACTAGAGAATTTAATCTAGTGCTAAAAAATGGGAATCCTTTTTTTGGTTTTTTAAATTAAATTTCTACCATCAATATGGGCTTTGCCATGTTTTGAGTCGATCAAGCCAGAGCTTGAAAATCTTCATTCATGCTAAGCTTGTACTGCCCAAAACTCCTGCTGAGCTGAATCAGAACTCCTGCTGAGCTGAATCAGTTCCATCAGTTTGGTTCAGTTTGGACTAAGTGACACTACTTGTTGTCAATCTTATAATGAAATGGCATACTTGTATTGAAATTCTTTTTAACAAATTTATGCCTGTTCTGTCATAAGTCAAAATTATTTAAGTTTAAAATAAGTGGAGTCAGTTCATACTCTTCATTTTATAGCTCACAGTTATAATTGAATTTTTGTTATCATTTTCAAAATAGTCACCTCCATGTAATGAGAATTATTTTAAATTGCACTGACGTGAGATTGCATTGTTTTATACTGGGCTTAATTAAAGATATCTTGAAACCAGATTGACTTGAATAGATCTGATTAGAATTTTTTTTTATAAAAGCTGCTAAATGCCAGTACCATTCATTGAAACCAGTTATATGTGCAGAGGGATTGCTTAAGGGAAGTTAATGATGTCAACGCTTTATTGATTTTTAGGCAGTACAGCCAATTTTTTCATTGATCACTCGATGGATATTTGAAGGCGAATTAGAAGACAATCACCATGAAGTTAGTTTTTATTACTGCTTACATTTCATTACATTTTCCCTTAATATCTTGAATTGTAAAAATTGTTAAAATTTGATTACCTGATCAAAAGGTAGCACACAAATCAGCCATTTGAAATGAAATTAGATAAATATATTTGCATTGATTTTTTCACCAAAGACAATCGTTGCTTTTTGATGATTTCTTTTATAGTTTTTTACTTTTACGACTTATTTTAAAAAGTAAATATAATTGATATAGTCATATTTTGTGTTGTGAATGATAAGACTGTGACAACAGCCAAACATAAAATTTTCTGTACAGTCGGTGCTTCAAATAATCATGATAATATTTATTTGCATTTGTTCTATGCAGTTTTTTGTACTGTCTGATCCTTCGGTAAGAGATGACAGACTGTGGCATGATAAGTTTTCTCTGAGGCCTAACATGATCCCTTCGTTCATCACTTTTGATCAAGCCAAAAAAGTAACAAGATGTTGTCGTTAAAGCATTCGTACTTAACATTTTAGTAAATCGTTTAAAAGTTCTTTTCTATTGCTTAATCGTCTGTTTTCAAACGTTTCATATTAATTAGATTCTTTTGACTGGAAAAACAATCAATTTTCTTCGACACATTTGTGCTGATCAGACTTCAATCAAAGAAAGGGATGTTGTCAAAATGTCCTGCATCAATGATGGTTTGTGTTGCTTTTCTGGTTTTCTCTCACCACATACAGCACTGTCATTGAATGATTTTTCAATTTAATGAAATTCATTTTTATTTAGCGAAACTTTTGTGTTTTACCTACTTAATTTCATTTTGGTTAACGTTCTTTGGCAGCTGATACAATGTTTGAACAAGAGCAGAACAATTCCTTCGGCGAGATGATCAACGTCATCTACAAACAGACGAGTTTGCATCTCTTGGATGTTTTGCACGACAAGTACAAACTGCTTGATCATTTAAAGGTCTTGATTTTTTTTTCAGTTTTGTTTTATCATTGATTAGCTGACACATATTTCTATGCAAAAGTCTGTTTCTGGCTTAAATGGTATTAAAAATAAGGAGTACACCAGATAGGAATTTTTAATGTCCGATCAGAACCAGATATTGTTGCTATGTGCAAGCAAAAGTAATATATAAGCGGTTACACTGGACATGCTCTGCTCATAATGCAACAAGTGCATTGGTATGTGCCATAGAAATATGCAGGTTTATTTATAATGTAAATAGTCAAAGAGTACACTTGAATGTCTACATTTGCGTTAGTATGAAGCACAGCACGTTGAAATACATGAGCATTATAGTATAATACCCATGCCAACCTATTACTTTTGAACTGTCTTTGTAATAAATTTTCTTATATATATATTTTATTTTATATATATATTTTTTTAACATACAAATTTTGTTCACATCTCATTCATTTGAAATCAGTCAATATTCTAAGATCAGTAAAAAGTTTTTTTTAAATATTCAAATAAGTGTTTTGGTTAAATTTCTGTTCAAGAAAGATTCAAATTGATGTTCTAGTTTACTACTTTTCCAATCCGTTTTGCTATATTACCAGGCTAAAAAAAATTAAACTTTTTTGTTTAGGCCATGAGAGATTATTTGCTTTTGGGGCAAGGAGATTTCATCAGGCATCTCATGGACTTGTTAGAGTAGGTTCACTATCTTTATAATATTTGTAGTATATATGTATATTTCGCTCTATTCTTATTGAACAAACTTTATTCTGATAAACATAATGTTATTTAAAAAATGAAATAATTTTTTCAGCGTAGTAATTTGTCATATTAATCCATATTCAACTGTTTTTGCAGAATTTAACTGCATTATCACCACCTGATTTGAATATAAATATAAATTTTTCTGTCAACAAAACAATGATTTCAACAATTGGCAAATTTTGTCTTATGATTTTCATGTTTTTTTTTTATGATATGACATAGTCATCATTTTTATATTTTTTAAAATTCTCATGTTCATTCTTGTAGATGTGAATTTGTAAGGTTGGAATAATGTATTTTACAACATTGTGATACAAAGAGTCAAATAAACTTCTGACAGCTTTTTTTAACTTTGAAAGACACGATGATTTTTATATATGTTTGGCCAAATAAAGTATTCATACCACAAATATCATCTATTTTAGCTTGTGCTATTTGATTAATTCCAAAAAATTTGACTTCTCATGTTGAACTTAAACATTGTTGTCATTTTAGACACTCCAGTTTTGGGATGATCTTCTGAACAAATTGCTTCCAATATGTCAATGCATATTTTGATGTTCAAAAAGAAGTAATTTAAACTTTTAATTACTTTATTAACTTTATTGCTTAACTTAAAAGATAATTTTAAGTTAAGTAATAAAGGCGATTAAGCAATTCAAAATTTAAATTACTGCTTTTTAATGCCATTTTTTGGAAAATACACTCGCTCATCATTCTTTGTTGTGTTCATATGAGAATTACACTTGAAGAAAGTTTTTTTTGAATAAAGCTATGTTATCAGCAAATGAATTACAAATGTTTAATTGACTCTTTGCAAAATTTTTTATGTTTAATCAACGTTTTAATAACTGCATTCTTTATTCACATTTTAACACATTTATATTTAACTAAATTTATCATCCCAAGTGACAGAGCAACTATACAATAAAATCTTTATTCATGTATTTAATAATATCACAACTTAAAGTATAACAATAAATCGTTAGAATATTCATTTAAAATGTATTTTTTGGGGTAAGCTCGTTTTTTGCTGTGAAAGTCTGGTTCAAAATTTTCATTTTTAATCTTTATTCATTGTCCTTATTTTTGCATCTATTAAATCTTTGTGATTTGGTTATACCATGCTGGTTCCATACCTGAGATCTGAGGTCGATAAAATTAGTCGTTAAATTTCTTGAAATTATCAATTTTATTTAGCAAGTAGATTGTTTAGAGCTCAAAAAAGAAACCGATTAAAACGTTAAGCCTTGGTCAACTTATTTAGAATTTACTATAATTACAGGGATTTCAATTCATTCTGTCTGTTCTGTAAATCTGTGTTGAATTTTTTTATATTAATAATTTAATAGTTTGTTCAAATGTTTTTTGATAACATTTAACCGTTCGACAGTTTGATTGAATATATTTTTAACATTTTATTTCCAAAGGCAATTATTGTACCAAATAAAATCAAAATTATTTTAGATGTTTTAAATTGATTTTTATATTTCTACTTTTTGAGTCATTTTTAAGATTTAAAGTATTATAAAAGAGAACTGTTGTTCATTAAATGATCAGTATTTGTAAATAACCAGCGATTATCATAATTATGATTATTATTACTGTTATTTCATTTATTTACCATTTACTGATGTAATAATAAGTGTTTGTCAAATCTAAATCACAAGAGAGGATCTCGCAAAGCCAGCACAGATGTTGTTTCTTCACAATTTAACTGGAATACTTGAATCAGCCATCAGAGCCACGAACGCACAGTATGTCAATGCAGATATCATTAAACGACTTGATGTCATGCTTTTAGAGGTTTTATAAAAAATTTTTCGTAATTAATAAATTTCATAATTTGCTTTATTTAATATATTAGTGTTTTTATAATTATAAACCGTGTCTTAATATCAGCTTTTTAAAGTTTTCATATTAGGATCGGGTCTTTTAATTTCCTTTTTAACTTAACAGTTTCTCATCTTTTTCCAGGACCAGACTAAATTATTTCTTTTTCTCTCATCCAACGACTTTGTTTAAGGGAACTTCATTCTTCATCTTACTCTCTTCATCTTTCACCTCGCACTTGCGGTCAGACTGACAATGCAACATTAAATTTTTATTGTCTTATTGTCAGAAGATCATAACAGTTGTATGCAGCAATTCTTTTGATAACTCATTTAACAAGCTTTAAGTTCTTTATACTGCTTATATCATTAAACGATTTAAAGAGAGATTACAATAATATGTTTAATACCTACTAGGAAAATTGCCAGTTAACTAGCACAAATTCATAAAAACTGGCAAATAGGTCAACATACAATTTTTATCATTGTAATATATACCAAAGATGGTAATTGTTGCCAAAAGGCTTTTCTGTATCATTATTATTAAAATGTATTCAAATAAAAATTTGGTTTATCACATTAATAAGTTAAAAGATGAAGATAAAATTAAGATGCTTAAAATGGAAAAATTTTCAATCTTGGCAACGCTGAAAATATCGTGATATTTTTAAACATTGGCATATATAAAAGTCTTAATCCTAATATATATATACATATATATGTATGTTCCTAAAATGACTTATTATACAAAATGTCAGGTATCACCAGGCGACACTGGATGGGACGTCTTCAGTTTGGAGTATCATGTATCCGGTCATATCAGAACTCTTTTTACACAAGACGTCATGATTACTTATTTGAAGATTTTTAATTTTCTCTGGAGAGCCAAACGCATGGAATATATATTATCTATTATGTGGAAAGACCAAATGAGTTATGGTAAAGTTTTCCGTCTATATCCAGGTTTTTATTGGTCACATTATTTTATTGTCTCCATTGCTCATGCAATTTGAAAAATTAATTTAGAATTTCTTCCAATACTGCACACCTGTCACCTGATCGGCAGTGAAATGTTACATTTTGTACAGCAAATACAATACTACATCAACTTTGAGGTAATACTTGCTTAATATGTAATACTTGCTTAATAATGTTATAAAAAAATTTATTATGGAAACCATTCATGTTCAAAAATTGCCTTTTTCAGGCTTGAAATGGTTAAGTACATCAAATACTCATTTCTAAAGTTTATGTTAATTTTAAACAAACTTGCAAATGTGGTTTGATGAAATTCAAATTCTTGAATTAAGATGAAGAAAGATGTGATTCAAATAATTAGATAATGTTTTCATATTTTTCATTGAAAATTTATTTAATAATCCATTTTGTATATTTTAATGTATTTTGGTTTTTACAGAACAAAATATTTCTGTGCTCAATTATCTCTACTGAAATTTGTTAATTGTTATCAATATGTTAAATTGTATTTCGTATTTCTGTTGATATCATTTTTTATTCAAGGTGCTTGAATGTTCATGGGTTGATCTGATGAGTAGGATCGAAGAAGCGCATGATTTAGACCAAGTCATTTCAGCTCATAATAATTTTTTGAGCAGCATTGTTAGCAGATCTTTGTTGGACAGTCAGTCACTGGTATAAATAGTTCTGTAACGATTGTTTGAATTTTTTGTATATATTTTGGACACAATATCAAAAGATGTAAAAAAAATTGCAGCCTATTCTGACGCAGCTAAGAACAATTTTTGATTTAGTGTTGCAGTTTAAAGAACAACAAAAATTTGTTTACAACAAGATGGATGAAGAACTGGAATTTAGGCGACAATTCAAACTAAATCAATTGCAGAGAAGTAATAAGGTTGCCGCAAAATTTCTTACTCTATTGGTTTCTTAATTTTAATTTTGTAATCGCTATCAGGGGGAATGGGGAACTGATGAACAAACAGAAAGTGATGAAGTGAAAAGACGAGAGGAATTTGTCAAACAATTGGTCCCAAGCACCCTTTCAAAGCTTAGAGTACTAAGTCAGTCATATAAGGTAAAATCCAAACCACGTTGAATGCTTTATTAATTTTTCAGTATTAATTTAACAAAACATAGCTAGAATATTTAAGTTTATTAATCTTTTTAATGCAAAATTTATTTGAGGCTGTTGCTTCCAACCAAGTTGAAAATAGATTTTCGTACTGATATCAGTTTGAACGTGTAAATTCTGTACAAAACTTATAAAATATTCGTTTACACTTTTGTGCACAAATTTATAAACGATATTAATCATTCGTTAGCTTACTTGAAGCAAATTCAATTCCGGTAAGGTGAAGATGTGAGTATAAAAAAAATTTCAATTTTCCATCCCATCGTCAGCGAGCTGTCATTAAACAATGATTGTAATTGATATAATACGTTACAAAAAAAATCATTATCGTACTCTAAAATAACGTTTAAAATTTTTCAAACAGAAATTGGTTGAGAATTTCCTTTCATCAATCACGACATTTTCTGATGGAAGCCTGCGTTGCCTAATATTTAGATTAAACTTCAATGAATTTTATCATCACCAACATCCACACACAGGCCGATTATCCAAGATCATGTACGCGTCACATCCTCAAAAAATTAAAGGAACAAAAGAGCCTAAGTTGTGACGTATGTTTATTGAAATTATGACGATGCAAAAACAAATTACTGAAGAATATTGCAATTGTGATGAGTAAATTTATTTACACAAGATTCAACCCCAGGCCAAATTATTTTGGTCTTTGAGATGGTTTGTATATCGCCCGTTCTGGCCTATCCTGAAAATGTATTAAATGTAATTGAATTTAGTTATCAAATAAAAACGAAGTGAACAAAATTAAAATCAATCGCTTATAACCTTATTTAAAATTTAAACGTAGAAATGAACGTTTGAAAAGCAGTGACGTTAAACACTATTATTGATCAGAAGAATGGGAGCTTTCTAGGACAGCCATTCCCCCGTTACGAGCTTTGTTGTTAAGTCAGTAAAACTCAGTTTTTATACAGAAATATTTATAAATTTTAGACGCGATTAGTATTCATTATGAACTACGCACTATGATCCAATCATTTCTGGGATTGTGGCGCTGATATAGTAAATGAGGCTGGTATTTTTTACTAAACCCAAGTAGTAATCAATCTCACGAACATAAAAACGCATAATTTGCTTATGGAAATCCCGACGTTTTTGATAAATAGTATCATGAATCAACTGAGTGGTTATCATTATGTATTACTGAACATGCACTATATCAAAGATGCCAGTTAGACAGTGATGTGGGATTTAGAAAGGTGATAAAAACTGAATAAATGTACGAACTAAAATAACAAACAGAAGAGAAAATTTTTGCGCATAATTTTTAGCATTAGAGTGAATAATGAACTTTTCATAGAAAATGTTGCCGAATAAAGAGAAACTTGGAGACAATTAAGGATGTTGCGTGTAATGAATCTGAAAAAGTCAGTTTACAATTGAAGGTAACTAATATACATGGAAAAAATGATGGTCAACATCATAAGAGATGGATAAGTACAAACAAGCCCTGCAATGTTGTGGAAAAAGTTTAAGAGTTGTTCAGGAAATTTTGAGTTTTGTTAGATTTGAGAAATTTTGCGATGTTATAGAAAGAGAAGAAAAAGGATCAGACAGAATTTGACTAATACTCATAGGAGACACCTTATATGACACTAAGAACACAATTTCTAGTGTAAAATTTCAAACAAGATTTAAAACAAAATGTTATCTTACCCTATATCTGATTTTTTGCTTTATTTTATTGTCGCCGTCACCGCTGTCCCTACAATCACTCGTATCTTTCCTGGTATCTTTGAGGTTTCTTTTTACCTTGATTTCATTCAATGCAGATTCTTGGTTAGTTATTGTACCGGAAACCCCTTCATCTTGCACAGTGTTTTCGGCATTTGCAAATTTTTGGCTACTGTTTGCTGTTGCAGCTCTTTCTTCAGTTGTATTTTTTAGAAAGCAAAACTCTTCTGATTCTTCCTTGAAAAAATAAAAAGGGCGTTTTATCACCTACAGCTAAAAATATCAATAGCGCCTAACAATCAGAGCACACATCTTCGGCCATGTTTTGTTTGATTATTCAAATTTTAGCCAGTTTTTATCTAAACTTATGTGTTTATTAGTAAGAAAAATTGTCAACAAAGTTTCATTGTAAAAATATAATAATAATAATAATAAAAAAAACTTGTTGAGAGCTATCCTTTGTTTCATTGAGTGCTTTATTTTTTAACCTTTGTAGTACATAGCTGTGTTTTTTCACGTTTTCTTCTGATATTGAAGTTCTGCACATATCATAAAATATTATCGTAACTAAAATATAATAAAAGGCGTATTTTAAAATTAAATATTTTCGTAAGATTCAAACACGAATTGTTTCACCTTTCTTTTGTAGACTTCAAAACGGCAACAGCTGCAATCTTTTCGTTTGACTCAGATTTAGTTACGTGTCTATCCTTTTTGTTTTCCTTTATCATTGCTTGCTTGTGCTATAGGTAGAGAAATAATTTAAAATAAACACGCAAAGCTTAAAAAATTATTAAAAGCCACCTTGAATGAACGTTGACTTGGGAACGTGTGTGGAACCAATTGAAAAAAGATATAAACTACTGAGAAGATATACATTATATATATATATATATAGAGAGAGAGAGAGAGAGAGAGAGGGAGGGAGAGATGTTATGGTGAAACAACTACAAACAAAAAAATTGAATTGCCAATGATTTTTGATCTGATGCAGAGCCAGTAATGGATGCAACTTATATGGGCAAGATGAAATTGATATTAACAGTGGGAACGGTATTGACTGATGGTGATACTGACTGAGATGTGGAAAAAAGAAGCCGTTAACGCAAACGCTAAATAGTCTACATTCAAAAAGGCCTTTGAAAATGAATGCATCAGGAATCTACTGTCAATTCTGTGCACAAAAATGATGACATGATACATCAGATTGCATGCACTGTAGAAAGGATGCCTTCCGGCTATAGCTCCCAAGCTGTGATATTTTGATCATTTAATATAAGAATGAGCATGCATGGTAACTAAATCAGTTTCCAGAGTGAAGCGCCACATCACTGAATAAACCGGACCTCTTGAACAATTGTTAGAAGTTACATAAAGCAGATACAGTTAGTATACCAATTCATTTAAGCAGTCAATGGTCACAAAAAAGAAAGGCTTCGTAACAAGACGTAACATATTTTATAAAATTAAGCATTTGATGGCTTGAAAGCAACAAAAAATTAAGTCTTAATATAATAGTAATAACAATGTTGCATTTGAAACATATTTAAATGAAAAATATACTAAATTTATAACTTTTGAAGTTTTGGCAATTTTTGAGTCATCGTCATATTTTCCTGAATCACTTTGTTTTTCCGGAAACCTTCTATGTTTAGAATCTTTGTCCTGTATTTTTTTCTTCCTGTCTTCTTTCAATCTATCTTTGTGCTTTCTGTCTTCTTTAACGGACTGCTGTAAATTTTAATACAAAATTTTTTACCTGTGACTGACACCTTGGGCTAAATCTCAACTACATTAATGATGTTGGTTGTCTTTGGATAGAAAGCTTAACCTCAGTGCACTAACTTGCATCTCATCGTTACAAAAAATTTGCATACTTTAACATGTAATCCAATGGTATAAAAATAATTCAATAGTATAAAAATAATTCAATAGTATAAAAATAATTCAATAGTATAAAAATAATTCAATGGTATAAAAATAATTCAATGGTATAAAAATAATTCAATGGTATAAAAATAATTCAATGGTATAAAAATAATTCAATAGTATAAAAATAATTCAATAGTATAAAAATAATTCAATGGTATAAAAATAATTCAATAGTATAAAAATAATTCAATAGTATAAAAATAATTCAATGGTATAAAAATAATTCAATGGTATAAAAATAATTCAATAGTATAAAAATAATTCAATAGTATAAAAATAATTAAATAATATAACAATAATTCAATAGTATAAAAATAAACCAATGGTATAAAAACATTAGCAAGCAAGCAGAAAATATTTACCAAGCTTGATTTCTTTTCATCTCTTTTCCTCAAGACATATGCGATCAAAGGTGTTTTGATTGGCAGGCATCCATTGTTAGCTTAGAATAATGCATAAATAAAAATAAATAAATGTGATTTTCCCACTTAAAAAGTGTTCTTGCCAGGTTATTAATTATATTATAGAAAGCCAACTTTTAAAACCAACTTGCGTTCATTATTATTATTAGATCAGATTTTTGCTATTTTGTACTAAAACTCCTCAAACTGTTTCTATTTCCACACATTTTCTATCTCATTATCTTTGGCTATGTGGGGTTCAATAAATTACATTGGCAAGAAGCGACATCATCAACTATGACAACTCCCGCCGTTTTAAGCAGATGTGCTGATAGTTATTATAATTTCTTATCAACATTACATTTTAACTGTTTTATTAGTTCTGCACGTTTGAATCATTCAAAAGAGTTATTGCTTTTATGAGTTATTTATGTTACCGTGAGTTACACTTACACTTGATAAAGACCGCATTTAGAATTATTTAATTTCTTAACATTGAAGCAATCAATTTAGCTGTAGTGCATAAAAACAACAATTTGCTTCTTCTTCAATATTCAAATATAATATCTGGTCTAAGCTTATTTATTCTAACTTTTTATCTTGGTCCTCAAAAAATTTTTTCCAACTAAAATCTTAACTTTGTTTCCTAGCCATTTTTACACTGTGACATTTTTTACATATTTTCCACTGTGATATTTTTTACATATTTTCCACCTTAAAGTTTTATTTATCCTGAAAAATCTGTATTCAATTGTAAGCAAACACCCATCCTTCTGACACAGAACTCAATAGTTCTCTTTTGATGAACTATTGAATTATTTAAATATTAAGAACATCACAATCAAACTTCAAATGCAATTCTGTGATATTTTAATTGATTTACATTTATTTTATAAAATTAGCGTCACAAAAAGATCAAACGTACCTTTCAAAAGCTTCTCTTTACTTTCAATTTCTTCCAAAAAACTTTCAGGAAGAATAGTAGATTCGTCCGTTTTGTTGTTTAAAGTGTCAAGAAACTTGAGGTAATCAGTATCTAAAATATACAATATAAAAACTTTATTCAAACATTGAACTATGATAAACCATTGAACTGAAGTTATAGAATATCTCTCAAAGCTAGAAATACTTGTAAAACAAATATTGAGGCAAACATTTGATTTGCTTGATCACTGAAGTGGATTATTTAAATTGAAAAAAATCTAAACTTCATTCTGTTTGTTATTTTTATGTAAAACAAACATTCTTTCCACTATTTGATAACAAGAGGCTTATTGTTTGAGCTGCAACCTACAAAGCTATTCTCATGTCACCGCTGTTCATTTGTGATTAACTGACCGCAGATTGAAAAAACATTATTATTTGCTCAAAATGATGACTGGTGTAGTTGGTGCAAAAGATTGTCGATAAAAATATCCAAACTTGATATGATTGATTGATTAAAGTGAAAGTTAATTAAATCAATAAAATAACTGAATACCTGTTGCAATTGAAGCAACCCTGTGATCAACTTTTTGTTTTCCACTAGATATTTTATGAAATGGAGCATATTCAACTACCGCTGGAAACTCACTTCCTTTATAATAATAAAAATAAAAAAACTGATTAAATTACAAAGCAACAAAAAAGAAAAAGTCAAGAAAAACGGAATACATTACAAAGAATTATACATTAAAAAAAAATAGTGAAGGAGTAAATAGAAAAGAATGGATAAGTAAATGTAAAAAAATTGGATGCATTCATCAAGAAATAATATCAAGAAAACCAGTCATACACAAGAGGTTTTAGGCAATGTTTGAAAGTATGGGAGTATAAAAATGTTAGTTAAAGCACTAACAAGAGCTTATAAAGAGTCAATGGATCAGGAAGTTCATTGATACATCGATTGATATATTGATTGAACAAACACGTCTTGAAAATGGCATATGTGATGCTTTAAATGCAATGTATGAATCAAACAAAATAAACAATTAAACACGAACCTTTATCATTCAAAAATATGTAACCATCAAATTTATCTTTGAATAACCACAAATCCGTCAAATTGACAAAATTTATGTAAGCCCTCGAAAATGGGTCGCCACTGAATTGGTATTAAAAATTTGTTGAACAATCCCCAAAATTGTTTCAAAATAATATCATGATCTCAAAGTCATGAACGTAAAAGTATGTACTTAAAAGTTAATTATTTAACAAAAGATTATTAAAATGTACGTTATATAACATGATCAATTTAAGTTAATAATGACTGATGTAAGTACGTCATATCTACACACAGTACATGCATTACAATAGAAGGCTTCAGATAAATATAAGTCACTAAAAGCCGAAAATATCGCTAATTTTAAAGTGTTTGATGACTTTATATATATTTTTAATCTTTCTTACCTGACTGATTAAGTCAAAAATTCAACCGATTCCAATAAAATTTTATGAACTGAAAAAATTATGAATTACAGCAAAATCAGAAAATGTTAAAGGAGATTTTAAGAATTCGTAGGCAGAATCAGTGAAAAGATTCTTCATGAATATAATTGGGGTCTCGTGGCTGAGTGGTTAGCGTGTCCGTCTACCACTCCCACGACGAGTTCGAATTCTGCAGTTTCTACAAATTCATTCGGGTAGCCGACCCCCGGTCAACCCAGCCGTCCATCCTTTCGAGGTTGGTAAATGGGTAGACGACGTAAGTTGTCGCATGTTGGCCGGCGAGATGGCTCAGTGGTTCAAATGCGTGCTGAGTCAAACATCTCAATGGCTATCATATACTCAGCGTATAATACATCACATAAAATACATCTGTACGTCGTGTAAAAAGGATAAACAGCCTTTGTGGCGAAAGATGGCTGCTTCATATCATTGGTTGAAGATATGAAGAACATAATAAAGATATATAGATAATATATATCAGTAACATTGTAAGTGGTTCTGCGTATGTCAGAGCTGCAATAATAAAGACAAAAAAAAATAAATAAATAAATAAAAATAAGAAACAAGATAAAAATCAGATCAACGGTTATTGTGGGTTTAATTAATCAAAATCAATCAATCAATCTTCGTTTGGCGTCCAGAGACACGGTTTCCCGAGGTAGGACGTTGTTTTCTTTGCCATCAACTTTTTGCGCCAAATTAGACGATCAGTTGTATCCATATCATTTAAATTTAGAGCTTTCATGTCTTGCTCGATTGTTTGCGACCAGGACTTCTTCAGACGGCCTTTGGGACGTGTGCCAGGTACTTCAACATCTGCAAGAGAAGTTATGGCACTGTTTCCACTTCGTTTGACATGACCAAACCACCGCAGACGGTATTGCCGGCATTCGTCCTTTATATCATCTAAACCAGCACGACGCAAGATTTCGGTAGATTTGAAGTGGTCCTTCTTACTAATTCGTTGCATCCATCGGAGCATTTTCATGTCGGTTCGTTGAGGTCGGAATTAATCAAAATATATGAGAATAAAATTAAAATAAAGTAGTATTTATTTTCAACTTAAGTCAACGTAAATGTCATTACCAGGATAAAGAATCAATACTGCTCATTGTGAAGACATTATCAAAAAACACAATTAGGTTTCCAAATTTAAAGAAAATGAAAAAATATCAAATTGCATCCTATATTGTAACAGTACTTGAACATAAAAAGACAAAAGTTAAATTTTTTAAAATTATTCAAAGAAAAAATGAGGCATGTCACAGCATTAAAAACACCTTACAAATGAAACCGTGGTCTTTGTTAAGATTTTGCTTACCTTAAATAATTAAGAAAAAAAATGTCCTCTCCAGCTAGACTAAAGTATAAAGGTTAAAAAAAGTCATTGATTGGCAGTGTTAAATTGTCCAACCCAACTCATGCAATATCTATTCAAAATTGTTGGAAGTCAAACTGTGTAGTAAACTCCAAAAATTTAAAGTATTGTAATATAGTAAGTATAGTAACACTCTTCCTTTCAAATTTAACAAACAACAATTTACTTTAAAAACTGTTACTGAGAATTTATTACAACAAAAATATAGAACAATTGTTACCTTACGCTTCCTTGAACAAAATAATAGTAATCATATAATCCCAAAGGAGCAACAAATTGCATAAAATTTTCTGATGTCATCGTTGATGGCAATCTACGAACAACTATCTGCAATCAATAAAAAATATTGCAAACAAATTTTCATCATCTCTTTCACAAAGTTTTTGCAAGACACACAAATCAAAAGTATTTAATGGATGTGGATAAACTTTTTCCTGTTATGTGTAATAAATATGTTTTGAAGTGTATGTTCTGCACTGTGCTAGCCAACTTATAGTAAAGGAAGAGAAAGATAGTTTTCAAATTTTGTTTTGTTAATTTATTTACAAATTTATCATTTTTTATTTAAAATCTGTTTGTTTTAAATTGGAACATAACTAAAAGTTTAAAAGAATATTGTAGAGATGCACAGAATAGTGAATTTAGCCGAAGTTGATCCAACATTCGACCGAAGCCAAAGACTGAATAATAAAAAACCTACAAATTTGAAAACAATTTAATTTTTTAGAATGAAAAACAAGTTATTGATTCATGTCTATTCATGTCTATTCTTTATTGAGATAATATACAATCCCTTTTTCAAATTCAACTGTTTCAACAGCTATGACAGCACAAATGAATTTTCCTCTCATAATTTTCAAAAATTATTGTTCTAAAATCCAAAAAAGTGATAGTTTTAATGGAGGCCTATTCAGCCTTAAAATATCCAAATGTCAAATTTTGGCTGAATGTTTGGCCAGGCGAAACATTTGGGCATTTTCAGATATTGTAAGCTTGTTGGATCTGGATCTTGAGACAGCTGCTAAGTCCTAAAATGGCTTTCCTTATATAAAAGAATCAAAAAAAACATGAAATATTAATATATAAACCATTAAAAAGCTACTTTTTATCCTAGCACTGCATAGCCACCAGTAGTTTTAAATTAAATATGAAACTTACATCATTTTTGTGTAATTATTAGCATACAACTTTCACTCCAGTATTTAAAAAATTAAAAATACTATTTTTGAAGACACTTGAAACTTTGAATGATTTAAACTTTTTTAAAGGTATTATATTAACACATTGCATATAATTATAATAGGAAAGAATCACTGCCTTCGAGCCCAGTCACTGCAACAACAAAATCAGGTGACTTTAAGTTTAACCATTGAGCCATTAACTGATTAACAGTGCATGCCATAAATAAAGTCTTGAAAATAAAACATCTTGCAAGTGATAGTATCCAAATTAAAAAAAAAAAATCTGAATTTGAACTAACTAACAACAGATTCTAGAAATTAAAATAAACTGCCAAAGGTACTAGCAGGATTCAATATTTTTTAGATCCGTGGCGTAAAGTTATTTCATTTAATTAAGTTAGCGATTAATTGATTAATATATTTATTTATCTATCTAGTATCTATTTTTAATTTTCATAAAAGTAAAAAAAATTAGTGGCAACAGAAGAGAGCTGTGTCAGTAAACTTTATTCAACCAATTTAATTTTTTAATTGTATGAAAAAACTACAAACTTTATTTTTTTTCATGACTTTTCAGCTATCGGTACTTCTTCAAATTAAGTTCGTAACGTTCGGAAAAACAAACTGAACTGAACAAACTGACAATAACATTCAAGTGAAGTTAGCCAAGAAAAAAAATCCTTGAACTTCAATTTAGTATTCAGGGTTTATATATATATAAATAAATATATATATATATATATAAATAGCTTATTGTAAATGGACAGATTTCTATACTAGCTCTCTTTGATATGAGTGCTGCCTTCGATTGCGTTGAGCATGATACTCTTCGTCGTCTTTCTATTAGTTATGGTATAAGTGATTCAGCGTTAGATTGGTTAAGGTCATATCTATTCAATCGGTCTCAACAGATTTGTTTTAATACTGTCCTGTCTGATAGTGATGTTTTACAATCTGGGGTACCGCAGGGTTCTGTGCTGGGCTCACTTGTTTATGCTTTACACGGCTGATGTACTAAATGTGGTAAATGAATTTGGTTTTAGGGCATTTGCATATGCCGATGACATTCAGTTGGTTGCAAGTACTCCACCTAGTTTTGTCGTTGGTTTAATTAAAAGAAAGACTTATTAACTGTCTCTCTAAGATTGATGTTTGGATGGACCAAAATGACATTCGAATGAATAAGTCAAAAACAAACTTACTTCCCGTTGGTACATGGCAAAGACTGTCACAGACTGACTTAAATTCAATTGAAATTGATGACACTGTAATTGATTTTTGCAGAAATTCAACTGTCCTTGGATTTACTATCGACACCAATTTGAATATGTGTGATCACGTGAAAAAAGTGTCTGCCATGTGTATGTTTCAGTTTCGTCGCCTTAGACTTATTAAAAAGTGTTTAACTAAGAAAACTTTATGCGCTTTTATGCACGCTTTCATTCATTCACATCTTGATTACTGTAATAGTTTTGTATGCTGTTTCTAAGAAGGAAATAGCCATGCTGCAGTCAGTTCAAAATAGTTCCGCCAGGATTGTTACTGGCAGTCGCTAGTGTGACCATATTACGCTAGTATATATATATAGAAGAATATAAACTGAATACTATCAAAGCCTTCGTCAACCGAGCAATAACACACTCAACTACTCAATTTAATTAACAATGTAATTAAATTTAAATTAAGAAATATCAGTAACAACAATAATAATAACTACAACAGAGTTACCAGTAGCAATATTATCACCAACAACAATAATCTTTCTATTGATAATGATAACTCCATTGCCATAACAACAACTCCATAACAACAACAATAACAACAACAATAACAGTAATCTTAATATTGATAACGATAACAACAACAATAATTTCAACAATAATCACAATAATGACTATAACAATATTATTCATAATACTAATAATTATAACGAAAGCATTGTCAACAACAACAGCGATGAAGTCAATAATAACAACAATAATCCAGATACTAATCACAACATCATAGTCAACAACTATAGTAACCAAAACAACACTTACTACAATAACGCCAATAATAACAATAACAATACTACCAACAGCATTCCCAACAATAATAACAATAATGATAAAGATATTATTCTATATTACCGCAACATCATGTCCACTTCATATAAAACAGATGAAAACATTTTAAGAAAACTAATTTACAACAATGTCAAACCCGTCAATCCCAATTGCAAAGTTAAGTTAAGAAAATATTATAAAAACGCCAAAACATCACACATGATAATCAAACATAACTGTCAACCCAACAACAATTCCATCATGAAATATAGTCATCTTATATATGAATTTTCCTGTCCCATTGATAACTGTGTCCACCAAACTTCTTCATATATAGGAATGACCACCAATCAACTTTCTCGTCGACCTACCATGCACAAAAGAGAGGGTGCGATCAAATCTCATATAGAA